ACAAAGATGATGTAAAAGTGATGGGAGAGAGAGGGATACAGAGATGATGTAGAAGTGATTGGAGAGAGGGAGTGATACAGAGATGATGTAGAAGTGAAGGGAGAGAGTTGGATACAAAGATGATGTAGAAGTGATGGGAGAGAGAGGGATACAGAGATGATATAGAAGTGATGGGAGAGAGTGGGATACAAAGATGATGTAGAAGTGATAGGGGAGAGAGGGATACAGAGATGATGTAGAAGTGATTGGAGAGAGGGAGTGATACAGAGATGATGTAGAAGTGATTGGAGAGAGGGAGTGATACAGAGATGATGTAGAAGTGATGGGAGAGAGGGAGTGATACAGAAATGATGTAGAAGTGATAGGGGAGAGTGGGGTACAAAGATGATGTAGAAGTGATGGGAGAGAGGGAGTGATACAGAGATGATGTAGAATTGATGGGAGAGAGGGAGTGATACAGAGATGATGTAGAAGTGATGGGAGAGAGTTGGATACAAAGATGATGTAGAAGTGATGGGAGAGAGAGGGATACAGAGATGATATAGAAGTGATGGGAGAGAGTGGGATACAAAGATGATGTAGAAGTGATAGGGGAGAGTGGGGTACAAAGATGATGTAAAAGTGATGGGAGAGAGAGGGATACAGAGATGATGTTGAAGTTATGGGAGAGAGTGGGATACAGAGATGATGTAGAAGTGATGAGAGAGAGAGAGGGATACAGAGATGATGTAGAAGTGATGAGAGAGAGAGAGGGATACAGAGATGATGTTGAAGTTATAGGAGAGAGTGGGATACAGAGATGATGTAGAAGTGATGGAAGAGAGAGGGATACAGAGATGATGTAGAAGTTATGGGAGAGAGAGGGATACAGAGATGATGTAGAAGTAATGGGAGAGAGAGAGTGATACAGAGATGATGTAGAAGTGATGAGAGAGAGAGGGATACAAAGATGATGTAGAAGTGATGGGAGAGAGTGGGATACAGAGATGATGTAGAAGTGATGGGAGAGAGAGGGATACAGAGATGATGTTGAAGTTATGGGAGAGGGAGTGATACAGAGATGATGTAGAAGTGATGGGAGAGAGAGGGATACAGAGATGATGTAGAAGTGATGGGAGAGAATGGGATACAGAGATGATGTAGAAGTGATGGGAGAGAGAGGGATACAGAGATGATGTAGAAGTGATGGGAGAGAGAGAGAGGGATACAGAGATGATGTTGAAGTTATGGGAGAGAGTGGGATACAGAGATGATGTAGAGAGGGGCTGTCTGTACTATATATGCTATAATTTTGAAGACGACCCCCTTGACCTAATTATAGCCCTATCCTCGCACTAACAAAGCATGTGGCAGCAAGAGGATGAGATAAAGACAGAGAGGAAGAGAAAGGGGATCCTACACTAAATAAATTTTGAGATATTATGGTGATTTAAAAGTTTGTTAAAATTACTTAATAAATAACTCATGTTGCTTATCTAACCCTAACCTCTGGGCTGGTGTTATCTAACTTGCTCTTTTTTTGAAAAAAAAAAAACCCAGATGGATCTTTATCGTGCAAGTTGGACATTCTCACATACAGGGACCATCATTTTAAGTCCCATCCGACAGTCACTGTGAAAGTAGTTAGATGTAAGTGAGGTGCTGATATGTCCATATATATGTCTTTTTCCATTTATATGGGCTATATATAAACTGTTGGCTTTAACAGTGTTCAGACTTTGTGCAATTCTACACAGTTCCTGGCTTTATGTAGCATTGTGACATTTATTTGACTATGATTTGAGATTGTGATGTTTATATTGGGAGTGGGGCATAGAACGGGGATGTCCTTTAGCTTACCATTCCTCAAATGTAAAAGTATTATATGTTTATAGGGTGTCTGGTTGTGTTTATTTGACTTAGTAGTTAGTAGTAGGTAGTTAATAAGTGCATTTACAAAGGTGACAAGTCTTTGAATTGAAAAAAATGGTTTTGCTTTATTGTGGTATTAAGTTTTGCTTTATTGATCTTTTGTTTTCTAATATGTGTTTCGTGTGTGTTATATGATAATACAGATCTTCACTTAAGATGGTAAGCCTGTAAAATACACATAAAATCATGTTTGGACCTAGTGCATGTATTGGTTGTTTGGTTCCCAGCAAAACGACCCTGCTGTAAGTCTACAGTGTCCCATGTTAAGGGCACGGTGTCAGGAGCCGTATTACTATGTCAGTGTGGTGTTGTACAGAATATCTAGGTGGTTGTGTAGTATTGTGTGAAGTCAAGATTATCAGAACTGGAGTCCTACCGTATCCCTTACAGTGCCCTGGGTATTTATTGAATATGAAATCAATTTTCGTATTGTACTGGCGGGGAAAGGGTGGGGGGTGAGTACATAGATGTCAGGTCGTTTACATTACAGTAAAGCAATATAAAATTTCACAGCAATATATAATTATATATGTAAGAATGTTGTGAATAGTTTAGGAGCATGTGGAATGGTTAATATCAATACAGAGTCTGCTCCATGTCTGTTTGTATGCAGTACAACTCCTGTAAATATTGGTACATGTACATGTAAAAGAGGAACCTACAGTACATGTACAACCAATGTAGTAAAGGACATTATTTTCTAGGGATTGAACTCAGGACCTGTGGTTACTAGGTCTTACACTCAACCAATTAAGCTAAAGGGTTTTCTCTTGTGAAGTGGTAAATTACAGCTACCTTTTTCCAGGATTATATACATGTTGCATGTAATTATGTTCTTGTGCATGACAAATTGGTTAGAGACTTCATGATCAGTATGAAATTTAAACATCTTAACAAAATTACAATGCCATCTTGTTTTGATTAGAAAGAGATGAACTGAAAAATTGTTTATATTTTGTAAATTAGCTCATTTCTGGTAATAAGTTCACCTCACATCATTTAACTTTGATGTCATTGTACAGTTTGAATATAAATCTGCTCAGTTATAAATCCATTGACAGTTTGAATAGCTTGTCCTTGATTTTATCACTCTTAGTCCAGACTAATAGCTTCAATGTTGCTAGTTGGTCGTGACTTCAGCAGCTGATTGGGTGATTGACCTTGGTATAGGACCGGTATATAGTAACACCTGCTCTAGCTGATGACTAGTCTATAGATAGAACTTGGTGAATAGGCCATCGATGACATTGTATTTCTGTAGTTACATCTCTGCATGAACCCTGTAACTACAGACTTGAATATGGCTGTGATAGTCAGTAAATATGGAGAGGGCTAGTACAGTGTCTCCAGGACATATACTTTTGGCTGTTAAACATTATGAATTGTTATTATCTCTGCTGCTTTCTTTTTTCAAACAAATGTAACAAATATTAATATTATTACCTGATATACTTAATGGTATACCCAACCTCACACCATACAATTACAAATTAAACCTATGTATTAATAAATAATGCATTGAGTAATGGGAAGAGACCTTTTTAAAAGGCCTGGTGGCATGTCTTGTGTTTGAGATGTTTTATTTAATTTTATCTTCTGCATGTCATATGGACTTTACACTGGGTATTCTGATCTGAAAAAAAAAGATAATTCTTTATCCTTGTCATGGTCTTTGCTCCCCTATTATGGCGTCTTTTTTCCTGTCATGGTGTCTATTTCCCTGTCTTGGTCTCTGTTTCCCTGTCATGATCTATTTTTCTCTGTCATGATCTCTGTCTCCCTGTCATGGTCTCTGTTTCTTTGTCATGGTCTCTGTTTCCCTGTCATGGCCTCTGTTTCTCTGTCAGGGTCTCTGTTTCCCTTTCATGGTCTCTGTTTCTCTGTCATGGCCTCTGTTTCCCTATCATGGTCTCTGTTTCCCTTTCATGGTCTCTGTTTCCCTGTCATGGTCTCTGTTTCTCTGTCATGGTCTCTGTTTCTCTGTCATGGTCTCTGTTTCCCTGTCATGGTCTCTGTTTCCCTTTCATGGTCTCTGTTTCTCTGTCTTGGTCTCTGTTTCTCTGCCATGGTCTCTGTTTCTCTGTCATGGTCTCTGTTTCTCTGTCTTGGTCTCTGTTTCCCTGTCATGGTCTCTGTTTCCTTGTCATGGTCTCTGTTTCCCTGTCATGGTCTCTGTTTCCCTTTCATGGTCTCTGTTTCTCTGTCTTGGTCTCTGTTTCTCTGCCATGGTCTCTGTTTCTCTGTCATGGTCTCTGTTTCCCTGTCATGGTCTCTGTTTCCCTGTCATGGTCTCTGTTTCTCTGTCATGGTCTCTGTTTCCCTGTCATGGTCTCTGTTTCCCTGTCATGGTCTCTGTTTCCCTGTCATGGTCTCTGTTTCCCTGTCATGGTCTCTGTTTCTCTGTCATGGTCTCTGTTTCCCTGTCATGGTCTCTGTTTCCCTGTCATGGTCTCTGTTTCCCTTTCATGGTCTCTGTTTCTCTGTCTTGGTCTCTGTTTCCCTGTCATGATCTATTTTTCCCTGTCATCTCTGTCTTCTTCTCTGTTTCCCTTACATGGTCTCTGTTTCTCTGTCATGGTCTCTGTTTCCCTGTCATGAACTATATTTCTCTGTCATGGTCTCTGTCTCCCAGTCAAAGGTTTAAGATGACCCAGAAACTAAATTTTCTTATAACTTTTGTGTTGACCTTTGATCTTAAATATAATTAATTCTTTACATTTGTTGATCTGTACATGATATTTCCCGATCGCAGAACCAAATTTTTACCAACTATAACTTGTCAGCTCATGTTTGCACCGTCTCTTCTCTAGATGATATAGCAGTTTTGTACTGACAGGTAGCTGTTATTTACTGCAGTCTATAAATGTCAGATGACAATTACATCAGGTGTAGGATCAGGCAGAAACCTAGACAAACTTGCTGCTTTCAGCTGTTCGCTTGAGTGTGGCCATGGTCTGCCTGGACTCTCAGAATATTCCATTTACCCAAGAGTGTAACTTCATTACTAATTGATGTTGACCTTTATTTCAGACAAATTGCCTATTCCTTCATCACTTGTGTGTTGACCTTTGACCTGTGAGAACAGCACCATGCCGTTCTTTGGGAGTTCCAAAAAGAGTCCCCAGGAACTGGTGAAGGCTATCAAGGACCAGCTCCAGGTCCTGGGCACCAAGTCTGCTAAGGGCTACCAGACTGACAAAAAGGTAAAATTCCAAGATGTCACATACACGAAAAAAGTAATGTGTACTTTTCATAATTTTACATGGTTATAATTGTTGATGGGCTGTTACAAATCAAATCAAAATGCTTTCATGTAGATTCACATTTGTAAACTGACTGCATGGCTTTTGAAGCAAGATGAAAGAGGCTAACACTTGCATTATATGTAGAATATAGCTTACTACCTAGAAGGCATGTGCTGCTGTAGCTAGTGACAGCTGTAGGAATTGAAGTAGAGTTTCACCTGCAATTAATTTGTTTTTTATTACAATACAGCTGGAAACAAATTCATTTCAATCATGCCCAAAAAAGTAAATATTGTGCTGGAATCTATCGTTAAAAAAATTAGGAGTTTTGAATTATGCATCAATAAAGGCAATGATGATTACTCCAACAAAATATGAAAATAAAATTAAAAATTGATTTATGACCAGGTATCTGAGGACCTGACAAAGAACCTCCAGGTGATGAAGACCATGCTTTATGGGAGTGCTGACTCAGAACCATCCACCGAAGTTGTGGCCCAGCTGGCACAGGAGGTTTACAATACTGGTACCCTGATACTACTCATCAAACACCTCATCCGTATTGACTTTGAGGTATGCAGGTCATGGCAGCACAGATCATATGTCTTGTCTGTATCGACATCAGGTATCTAGGTCATGGCAGCACAAATCATCTGTCTTGTCTGTATCGACATCAGGTATGTAGGTCATGGCAGCACAAATCATGTCTTGTCTGTGTCGACATCAGGTATCTAGGTCATGGCAGCACAAATCATATGTCTTGTCTGAATGGATGTCAGGTATGTAGGTCATGGCAGCACAAATCATATGTCTTGTCTGTATCAACATCAGGTATCTAGGTCATGGCAGCACAAATCATATGTCTTGTCTGAATGGATGTCAGGTATGTAGGTCATGGCAGCACAAATCATATGTCTTGTCTGTATGGATGTCAGGTATGTAGGTCATGGTGGCACAAATCAAATGTCTTGTCTGAATGGACAAGGGGTATTAAAGTCAGGTTTTCTTTTACAAACACCTGTGATTAAATACTTATCAAAGGAATGTAGATGGAAGGTATCAGTTCTGAATGCCAGTGTTATTTATCCTTCGCTTAACGAAGTTGGTTGGAGATATTCCATCTATCCATGCGGATATCTTTTGAAGGACTGGTTGGATATTCATGAATCTTGGTTGGTACACTTGATAATATTACCCTTGGATGAATGTAGGTCAAGGTTGTACTGCTAACAACCACTTCATTTGAATTGACCTCTGAGTTTAAAGGTATAAGGTCATCTTGAGATCAACTGACCAACATAATCTTGACTAAGTTGTCAATTTAGGTCAAGGTTATACCAAATGTTTGACATGTTATAGAATATCTGATAAGGTTGATGGGTAATGATTTTTCTGTATATTGGTCAAGGCCATTGTCATTCTACCCATAAATGATTTCATCTATGTAGTTGTATGCAAATGATGATCAGTCATTTCTCCTCTTTCAAGTAATATTTCATACATGTATACTGAAACGAAAAAAAAACGCAACTTGGAAAATTGTTGTTAATTTTGTATTAAATATACATAGCTGTATAAAAATCGCGGAAATAAAAGTGCACCCTGCCTATCACCCTAACCAATGTTCAAAATCAACCAGGTGTGACGAGAAACCTATGCACATCCGGCGCAGTAAAAACATCAAAAACCGTGCCTGTACAAACATATGCGTTCTTTTTCATTCAAACCAGTATCAATTTATCACTAACATCAAGACACATCATCGCCAATACTTTTTCAAACAATAATTCCTTTTACAATTATGCCACGGTTATCACAGGTTGATAGAGGATGTGCTATCGCAATGCTTATGGCAGGGAGCACGCAACTTCACCTCGCTCGACACTTCAGAGTTCACAAATGGACTATTAGTCGATTAGTTTCACGTCTTAACGCCACAGGAAGAGTCAATGACCGGCCGAGATCAGGACGTCCACGTGTAACGTCGCGACGTCGAGACCGGGTTGTTAGGCTGGCACACTTGCGTAACCGGAGGTTAACGGCTACTGAAACGGCAAGGAATACAATTGGTAATGTTCCTATGAGACGTTGGAGGTCCATGCTCTTCACCGATGAATCTCAATTCACGTTATTTCGAGCAGATGGCCGTCAACGTGTGTACCGCGTCGAGGCGAACGTTTTGCTGACGCCTATGTTTTGGAGCATGACCGATTTGGGGGTGGATCAGATATGGTTTGGGCGGGAATCTCCCATGGTTTGAAGACACCTTTGGTGATAGTCAATGGGAATTTAACGGCCGTACGCTATCGGGATGAGATCCTTAGGCCCCATGTTGTGCCGTTTGTTAGGCAGCATCATCTAACCTTGCAGCAAGATAACACGAGACCACACGTTGCAAGAGTCTGTAGAGACTTTCTTGCGATACAGAACATTGTTCCTATAGATTGGCCTCCATATAGCCCCGATTTGTCCCCAATCGAGCATTTGTGGGATGAACTAGACAGAAGAATTTTGCAATCGCCGTAACCCCTCAAATACCCTCCCCCAGTTAGCAAATGCACTCGTCCAAGAATGGAATAACATTCCAATACAGACAGTCAATGCCCTGATGAACTCGATGCAACGAAGAATTAGAGATGCTAAAGCTGTTCGAGGAGAACACACACGATATTAGGGCACGGTTTCAAAACTGCTGCCGTTTCAACTTGGATTCACGTAGGGTACTACCAATCATGACCTTCTAGCGAAGTGACCTTTTCTTAAAAATCTCCAAACATTTAGAGGATGTTACATCAATATTCAATATTAACTATTACATATGAAATTTAGACATAATGCTCACAAGTATTATTTTATTAAACCTACAATTTGAAGTAGCGTTTCTTATTTGTTTCAGTATATTATACCAATAAATGTCCTCTTTTATTAGTTATGTTTAATGATTAAAACTCTCCTTGAGATTTTGCTGCTTAATTACAAAACTATTGAGATGTCTATAACTAAAAATGTAAGTGCCATTTGAAACTTCAATCTATCAAATAATATTTCATACATGTGTGTCATACCAATAAAGATAACAAACAAGGAATCACGGGGTAGTGATGTTACCATGAACCAAATATATGACTTATCAAAAATAAGTTTAAAAAATCTGTTTAGATTTGCACTCTCTGTTGTAGGGAAGGAAAGATATTGACAGAATATTTGCTAACCTCTTGAGACGACAGATTGGTACACGTATGCCCACTGTAGAGTACCTGTGCACCAAACAGGAAGTCTTGTTTGAACTTCTGAACAAGTAAGTGATTGAAATATTTCATTATTATACTTGATGGGATTGTTTAAAATTTCTTCATTGAAATGATTGTTCCCTTTAACTAGTTTCCCAAGTGTTTAAATTATAGTTTAAAAGCATCCAATTAATGTGAATTTTGTCTTATATATTGTATGTTCATTTAAAGTAAGAAAACTTTTCTATCATTTTTACTATATAAACTTGAGATATTGGGTCGAAAATATTGAATCATCATTTCTAAATTAATTTTACATTTTAAATCTACAAGGAAAAGTACAAACCAATAGTTTTTGGAAATTTCATTTGTTTGAAATATTGTCTTGTTATCAATTTTTATATCTCTTTAATTTCATCCACTAGTTTTTACCTCTAATGTGTAACATATCTTCATTTGAGCAGTGTAGCCAACTCACGTTGTTTTGTCAGGATAACTTGATATTGCCTTTATCAGGACCAGCTAACATTTTGATATATGCTAGAATCACTTGCTATTTCTTTCCTTATGTCAGTATTTATACTACAGTAAGTTGTGGCTGAGAAGGATCAAAATCTGTTGTACTTTGTAGGTTTTAGGAGCTGGTGAGACATATAGAAATGTCTGATGTCCTGTCTGTAGTACTTTGTAGGTTTAAGGAGCTGGTGAGACATATATGAGTGTGTGATATCCTGTCTGTTGTACTTTGTAGGTTTAAGGAGCTGGTGAGACATATATGAGTGTGTGATATCCTGTCTGTTGTACTTTGTAGGTTTAAGGAGCTTGTGAGACATGTACAAGTGTGTGATATCCTGTCTGTAGTACTTTGTAGGTTAAAGGAGCTTGTGAGACATATACAAGTGTTTGATATCCTGTCTGTTGTACTTTGTAGGTATGAGGAGCCAGAGACTGCTTTACTAGGTGGACGCATGCTACGAGAGTGCTGTCGCATAGAGAGTCTCACCAAAATTCTGTTATATCACGAGTCCTTTTATAAATTTTTTGATTATGTTGAACTGTCTACATTTGATATTGCCTCTGATGCATTTTCAACATTTAAGGTAAAACATTTTTTAGATTTATGTTATAATTTATAACTGAACCTGTTAATTGACAAAAATTATATCAAATCACAGGTGCTGTAATCTTCTTATAAAAGCCTTATGGTACAAATGTGGGGTGCTTTGAGAAGATGTAGGGTACAAATGTGAAATGCTTTGAGAAGGTGTAGGGTACAAATGTGAGGTGCTTTGAGAAGGTGTAGGGTACAGATGTGAAATGCTTTGAGAAAGTGTAGGGTACAAATGTGAAATGCTTTGAGAAGGTGTAGGGTACAAATGTGAGGTGCTTTGAGAAAGTGTAGGGTACAAATGTGAGGTGCTTTGAGAAAGTGTAGGGTTCAAATGTGAGGTGCTTTGAGAAAGTGTAGGGTACAAATGTGAAATGCTTTGAGAAGGTGTAGGAAACAAATGTGAGGTGCTTTGAGAAGGTGAAGGGTACAGATGTGAAATGCTTTGAGAAAGTGTAGGGTACAAATGTGAAATGCTTTGAGAAGGTGTAGGGTACAAATGTGAGGTGCTTTGAGAAGGTGTAGGGTACAAATGTGAGGTGCTTTGAGAAAGTGTAGGGTACAAATGTGGGGTGCTTTGAGAAAGTGTAGGGTATAAATGTCGGGTGTTTTTTGAGAAGGTGTAGGGTACAAATGTGAAGTGCTTTGAGAAAGTGTAGGGTACAAATGTTAGGTGCTTTGAGAAGATGTAGGGTACAAATGTGAAATGCTTTGGGTGTAGGGTACAAATGTGGGGTGCTTTGAGAAAGTGTAGGGTATAAATGTCGGGTGTTTTTTGAGAAGGTGTAGGGTACAAATGTGAAGTGCTTTGAGAAAGTGTAGGGTACAAATGTTAGGTGCTTTGAGAAGATGTAGGGTACAAATGTGAAATGCTTTGGGTGTAGGGTACAAATGTGGGGTGCTTTGAGAAAGTGTAGGGTACAAATGTGAGGTGCTTTGAGAAAGTGTAGGGTACAAATGTGAGGTGCTTTGAGAAAGCGTAGGGTATAAATGTGAGGTGCTTTGAGAAAGTGTAGGGTACAAATGTGAAATGCTTTGAGAAAGTGTAGGGTACAAATGTGAGGTGCTTTGAGAAAGTGTTGGGTACAAATGTGGGGTGCTTTGAGAAGGTGTAGGGTACAAATGTGAGGTGCTTTGAGAAAGTGTAGGGTACAAATGTGAGGTGCTTTGAGAAAGTGTAGGGTTCAAATGTGAAATGCTTTGAGAAGGTGTAGGGTACAAATGTGGGGTGCTTTGAGAAAGTGTAGGGTACAAATGTGAGGTGCTTTGAGAAGGTGTAGGGTACAAATGTGAGGTGGTTTGAGAAAGTGTAGGGTACAAATGTGAAATGCTTTGAGAAAGTGTGGGGTACAAATGTGAGGTGCTTTGAGAAAGTGTAGGGTACAAATGTGAGGTGCTTTGAGAAAGTGTAGGGTTCAAATGTGAAATGCTTTGAGAAGGTGTAGGGTACAAATGTGAGGTGCTTTGAGAAAGTGTAGGGTACAAATGTGAGGTGGTTTGAGAAGGTGTAGGGTTCAAATGTGAAATGCTTTGAGAAAGTGTAGGGTACAAATGTGAGGTGCTTTGAGAAAGTGTAGGGTACAAATGTGTAGTGCTTTGAGAAGGTGTAGGGTACAAATGTGGGGTTCTTTGAGAAAGTGTAGGGTACAAATGTGAAATGCTTTGAGAAAGTGTAGGGTACAAATGTGAGGTGCTTTGAGAAGGTGTAGGGTACAAATGTGTGGTGCTTTGAGAAGGTGTAGGGAACAAATGTGTGGTGCTTTGAGAAAGTTTAGGATACAAATGTGAGGTGCTTTGAGAAAGTGTAGGGTACAAATGTGAGGTGCTTTGAGAAAGCGTAGGGTATAAATGTGAGGTGCTTTGAGAAAGTGTAGGGTACAAATGTGAAATGCTTTGAGAAAGTGTAGGGTACAAATGTGAGGTGCTTTGAGAAAGTGTTGGGTACAAATGTGGGGTGCTTTGAGAAGGTGTAGGGTACAAATGTGAGGTGCTTTGAGAAAGTGTAGGGTACAAATGTGAGGTGCTTTGAGAAAGTGTAGGGTTCAAATGTGAAATGCTTTGAGAAGGTGTAGGGTACAAATGTGGGGTGCTTTGAGAAAGTGTAGGGTACAAATGTGAGGTGCTTTGAGAAGGTGTAGGGTACAAATGTGAGGTGGTTTGAGAAAGTGTAGGGTACAAATGTGAAATGCTTTGAGAAAGTTTAGGGTAGAAATGTGAGGTGCTTTGAGAAAGTGTAGGGTACAAATGTGAGGTGCTTTGAGAAAGTGTAGGGTTCAAATGTGAAATGCTTTGAGAAGGTGTAGGGTACAAATGTGAGGTGCTTTGAGAAAGTGTAGGGTACAAATGTGAGGTGGTTTGAGAAGGTGTAGGGTTCAAATGTGAAATGCTTTGAGAAAGTGTAGGGTACAAATGTGAGGTGCTTTGAGAAAGTGTAGGGTACAAATGTGTAGTGCTTTGAGAAGGTGTAGGGTACAAATGTGGGGTGCTTTGAGAAAGTGTAGGGTACAAATGTGAAATGCTTTGAGAAAGTGTAGGGTACAAATGTGAGGTGCTTTGAGAAGGTGTAGGGTACAAATGTGGGGTGCTTTGAGAAGGTGTAGGGAACAAATGTGTGGTGCTTTGAGAAAGTTTAGGGTACAAATGTGAGGTGCCTTGAGAAGGTGTAGGGTACAAATGTGAGGTGGTTTCAGAAGGTGTAGGGTACAAATGTGAAATGCTTTGAGGTGTAGGGTTCAAATGTGAACTGCTTTGAAAAGGCATATTTAAGTTCCTTAAGAACATTTCTCTAGTTACAATCTGAAAGCAAAGGACTTTAATATAAGAGAAATTAGTACTATGTACTGACCATGCTTAAGGATTTTGGACAAAACTCAGTGTGGTTTCTCTCCATTTTTTAAGTGTCCACTGTAGTTTGTGTTTAACAAATCAAACCAAGCTCATCTTTCGTTTGTCTCACCAGGCCCCACTTGTATAAAACATCTCAATTTGAGATTTCCTCAAGTCGAGATTTTCCTCAGCTGATATCTCCTCAAAAATGGCTTGTATAAAATTTTCTCAAGGAACAGGAGGAAGGCATCGGCTAGGATGTTTTGAAATTCCTTGAGGAATTTTCATACAAGATATTTTCAAGGAGATATTAGCTGAGGAAAATCTGGGCTTGAGGAAATCTCAAGTTGAGATGTTTTATACAAGTGGGGCCAGATATCTACTATTAAGTTTTTAAACGCCTGTTGAAAGATGGGGCGTATTATGTTTTCATACAGGCAGATGGCGGGTGGGTGGGTGGCTGCACACAGGTTTCCATTCAATAACTTGAATAATATTTTACAGATTATTTTGAAACTTCACATGAAGGTTTATTACCATAAAAGCCAGGTCAATTTTGATAACCAAATTTTTTCACCCATTATTTACAGAGTTATGGCCCTTGGTACATTTGCAAAATAGGTTTCCCCTTAATAGTTTGAGTAATTTTTCATTTATTAATTTGAAACTTCATATGAAAGTTCATTACCAAAAAAGGTTTCCACTCAATAACTTATGTAATAACAATTAAATGGAATTCATTGAGGCAGTTTTATTGCCATGAAAGCTGGGTAACTTTGGTAGCCAAGAAGTGATACCGTAAATTTTCGCGTATAGTGCGCACTTTTTCAAGCTAAAACTGTCGTGTCAAAAATGGGGTGCGCATTATACGCAGGAACATGCCATTCTTGGGGTTATCATTCCCGAGTTCTGCGTCCGCCATATTGGATTACCTCCCTTCACATAGTTATATGTATAAGTCGTCCATCTTATATGATAGTTTGGAGAAAAAAACAACAGCAACAAAAAAGTAAAATAAAATAAATTTTCAATGTTTTAATCATAGGCCATTCACGCTAGCATTACGGTGAATCTAATTTTTTTTTTGTTTCTCGTCTTTGAAATAGTGACAGTCTTACTATTGGTCGGGGCTATAGTAGTGTCTGAATTTCTGCCTCATTTTGATGATGTATCTGAGGAATTCAATGAGTCTGGAAGTTTTTGTGCGATTGTCGTTCTGTTCATAAATCTGACAGCCCATCCCATCGATGCCCAAAGTTGGTGACCCCATGACCTCTCTTGATCTGCATGTCCCGCACGTGCAGTTCTACTGGCAGTGATGCCGGCATCTTGGCGATCGCATACAAAGTTGAACAGCTCTCTCTCCATCTCAGGGTGTAACGCTGTCGCACCTATGTCAGCCCTTCTGGTCAGTGGTTGGGACTTTAGACGTTTTTTTTCTTCCATGCCTTGATATTTCACTCTGGAATGTCAAAGTGGCGACCGGCGGCACGAAACTCAAGTCTCTCGGCGCAGACCATGGCGTTCGCCGTTTCCCCATGTCGAAGTCGGTGTAAACATTCTATAACTAAGTACCTTCGGATACCGCGGTAGGTACAGATATGGGGACAAGGTATGATTGAAACTTTTCAGACAGTTAAAACAACATCGTTTTCTAAGCAATAGTACGCGTTCAGCCAAAGCCGGGTGTCATCAATCTCCTCATACTCAACGTGTTTGTTACCTGTTAAGAACCGTTAATTATCCAATTAGCCAAGCCTTTCATGCTTTTTAAGTCAGGTACCTGTGTGAATTTGTTTACATAAGGTAATCAAATATGATAGGGTCACGATGATTGTGGTTTCCTAATTATCAATGGATCAAACCACAACTGTTTCATCACAGTACCAGTTATCAGTTAATCTTTCAGTAGAAAATCTTCTTTTTTTTAATATGACCCCAAAAAAGTACCTGCGCACTATACCCGAGTGCGCACTATACCTGCAAATTTACGGTACTACACTGGACAATTTCCCTAATTCCACAAAGGGCGAATAATCCATGATTTTCAACCCAATCCTACAAATGATGGCAAATAACCTTCCTATGAATCGTCAGCGAAATATCAGTGAATTTACAATATTTATTAAAAGTCTGTAAACTTTTGTAAATATTATAATAAACATTCCTACAAATCATCAATAAGCCTTCCTATGAATGAAACCTTTCTACCAATCATCAATGTCCGTTTGTTTAAGAGTTGTCAGTAATCCTTCCTACAAATCAAAAATGTCCTTTGCTACAAATCGTCTTAGCAGTTTTTGCACAAGCACCATTAACTTTATAGAAATTCAGTAGATAATCTTGGAAATCAATCTTACAACCTAGAAACCAAAATTATCCACCTGAAATTCATCCAGTTATGGATGCTCAAATTAGGATGGGTGTATTTTGTAACGCTTATTGTTCATGAATTTATTGTGATTTTTTTCAGGAGTTATTAACTAGACACAAAATACTGTCAGCTGAGTTTCTAGAGGCCAACTATGATAGGTTCTTTGCCAACTACCAGAAGTTGCTCAGTTCAGAAAACTATGTCACCCGGCGACAAGCCTTGAAAGTAAGTTTACTTAACATAGACAAGAAATCTTCACGCTCATCATTGAAAAATACATGAAATCATCAAGATAGTATCTAATACTTTATTTATTCCATTTCAGCTTCTAGGAGAATTACTGTTAGACAGACATAACTTCACCACCATGACTCGCTACATCAGTAGTCCAGATAACCTCAAGCTGATGATGAATATGCTGCGTGAGAAAAGTCGTAATATTCAGTTCGAAGCCTTCCACGTGTTCAAGGTTAGGGATTATTTAAATGGTTCAGCCAAACTTCAGATATGGGAATCAAGTTTGCAAACTACTGGTAAAAAATAAAACAAAGTAATGGCATATTGGTAGTTTGGTATTCAACTCATGCATTTCTGATCTTGATTTTAGATGTTGATTCACTGAAAGATAGAGGATAATTAGTGGCTTTCTATTGAGTATTATATAAATTTCAGAAGTATGTTAAAATACCAGTATTCTCAGGATTTCAGATGTGTGCTGCAAACAGACTTATTCAACTTTGGATTCATAGGCAAAAATATTGTTAACACTTTGAAAAGATTTGAATATTAGGAATCTAAATACATTTACTTTTATTTAATTACTGCCGTGTTTGGTGGTCTGATCTGTAGGGTCATTACTGCAGTGTTTATCTCGCTGTCTTTCAGGTGTTTGTAGCGAATCCAAACAAGCCAAAACCAATTCTGGATATACTGTTACGGAACAAGGAACGCTTAGTTGACTTTCTCACCAAATTCCACACTGAAAGATCAGAGGACGAACAATTCATTGACGAAAAAACATATCTCATCAAGCAAATTACAGAACTGTCTGGGCCGAAAGATCAGATGGAAGTTAAGTGACTTCCCTGGAGGGGTGGGTGACGCACCTAGAGGAGCCAATACATTAGAGACATTATATCTGATGTGACTGACCACTCACACTGCAATGTATGTTCAAACTATAAGTGGTCACTATAGATACAATGTATATCTGAATTATATGAAAGGGCACTCAGCAGTTAGCTACAATATTGTTCAGAGAGGAGAAGTGGCCATTTATGTTTTAATTACTTTAGAACAAAGGGAGCCTATAGTTTTGGAAGTGTACCATATACAACATGTACATGTTGGAAACAGTCCCTGTGGTTACTGTAAATCAGTGGTTTCTTAGGTAATTATGTCACAATGTAGACTTACATGTCATTTATTTCAAAAGTTACAATACATTTTGGAACTTGAAAAGGAGTGAGTGCCATCTACATTTCTACAGTCCGTTTCTGTGTCAGACCTCGATCTGATTCCACAAAACCAATATAGCCTCGACTGATGGTCGCTGTACTGTATACTTGATGCTGTTCTTTTAGATGCTCAGAAACTCCCAACAGATGTTGTTGAATTCAAGTGCTTATCAGAGTTGGTACAAATTTGAAAGTGTGAAGGCCTTGGATGATTTCAAGGTTGCCACTATTTTTTTCTAAAAAACAGAACAGAATTGGTTCAGCTGAGTTATAACACAGGTATGTTTCAGAGTCTGACCCACTACATCGTAGTCAGCCATGAAAATAATGTGGAGAAAATTTCAATTTTTTTGGGTTGTTACATTAAGGTTATAAATGACATGGTATAAATAGTGTTCTTTATTCTGAAAGTTTGTCATGTTTTCCTTGTCCTTTGTTTGTAATATTTGGTCTGTATTTTGTATTATCAAATGATCAGTCTAGAGATTTAATTGTTTTGGAAGGAAATTTGACAGTAACATATGGGTTTAAAATTTTCGTGTATGCAGGAATATTGTTTCCTATCCATTTTGGTATCTATGATACCATGATAAGTATATAGTATATCGTAAAAACATTTAAACCTGCTGTCAGCTGTGAAAATCTAATAGTAATTCATTCTTTGCGATAAATCACAAGTATGTTTGTACTGTATGGTGTCTTGAGATAAGAAATGATTGGTATATGATGATGTGATGTGACCGTCTGTTCACACGTATAGATGATGATGTGATGTGACCGTCTGTTCACACGTATAGATGATATGTGATGTGATGGTCTGTTCACACGTATAGATGATGATGTGATGTGACCGTCTGTTCACACGTATACATGATATGTGATGTGACGGTCTGTTCACACGTATAGATGATGACATGAAATGACCGTCTGTTCACACGTATAGATGATGATAATGATACATTTAATGCTATTAATCATGTAACAAACCTACTGTCCAACATCTCTCACAATTATAAAAATCTTTTCTCAGTGCCAGATGTGAATTTTATAACCGATGAAAAATATTTACTATAGAAATTTAATAGGTACACCCTGGTAACGAAGATTGTTTTAATAGGTACACCCCGGTAACGAAGATTGTTTTAATAGGTACACCCCGGTAACGAAGATTGTTTTAATAGGTACACCCCGGTAACGAAGATTGTTTTAATGCATTGATTAGAAATACTTTAAATTAGCATGATTAAAATGGGTATTTATATGTCTTTGATTAAACTTGTAAGATGAATATCACATTTCAAAAATGCATAATTTTGTTTTGTTTGATGTGACCTCTGGTTTGTTATTCCATTGCTGTCACCTTTAATTTGTAAACTTAGTTGATATGGTGTTAAATGATTAAAGTAATCTTCAAAATTTTCCACAATCCTTTAGGAAAGGTAACAAAAGCTGCTCATTTTGGAAAAATGTTGGTGTATATAACCTTAGTTGAGAGATGTATAGGTTGATGGTTCATACCTGTGGCAGTTTGTCTTTCTCGCTGAGAAACACGCTGGTCATCTTGTTTTTATCCTTGAGCCAGACAAACTCTGGTATGTTGTTCAGTGTGGTATACACTACGTGTAGCTACTTTCAGGAGGCTAGGACTCGGAATGCTAAACCAAGCAAGCAAAATAAACAGTAGATTTCAGTACTTGTTTGCTGGGTCTATCTGCCTGTGAACAGCCACGAATGATTATGCAACTCACTTAGTACCATGCTTTCCAAAGAAATTTGGTTGAAGTCTTTACCTTAAGAGATAACCACAACAGTGCAGTCTGTGATGTTAACTTCCAGCTGGGAAATACAAACTGTCCTGAGTAGGAACCTGCCCTGATATTGCTGTATTTATAGGCCTCTAAATTGCAAACATTTTTGTAGGGAACAGCATTAATTCAACAAATGTGTGAAGAATTGGTCAAATATTTATTTGTTTTAAAGAAATAGGCCGCAAAATTTCTAAGTAGTATCCTCTCCTACCATCTTGATCATTGTCTTCATTGTTAAATGTGCTTTAAAAAAACTTGACTTGTTAAAATAATGGAAAAGAAAATCATAGATGACCAGTCTCCCAATGTTGGATGCTTCCTAAATCATTTTGGAATAATGATAAATATCATCACCTTATTCTGTAAAAACTATGACATGTTTGTTGTGACAATTTTTGTCTTTTTTTTAAAAGTCTTATTAATTAAAAGTACATGTATATTGTATTTTTATGGTTTGAATGGTTCCTTGCATCCTGAATGGTGTTAACAGAACAAAATAGTTTCATCTGAAATGATGCAAGCCTCTATATACAATAGTTATTATTCACAGGTAGATAACTCATAAAAAAGGGGAGGTAATTACATAAAGAAGTGGCATCCTGTCCCGTTCTGTTTCTTGTGAAAATTAATAATGTGTTATATCTGTATGTGAAAATACAAATTTTGAATTTATGATCAGATATCAACAGTTGACACCATTGAATGTCAATAATTATAAACAATATTTAGTCGAAAATCAACAATAATCAGACATTTTATCTCAGGGAAATATGGTAAAGACTTAACTTTTCCATAATTGGCCATCCAGCTTGAAAGTTGTATAATGAAATTAATTAGTAATACACAATTAGATGATATTGAAATTAAAGTGGATAGATTTTATTTTTGTTTTTTCTGATGTCTTTCTTGAGGTGAGCATGTAGATTTCCAATGTTTAATCAGCTAGATATGAGATTCCAAAGCTTTCAGGACTCAATTTGACAAGATGTGCTGTAACAGCAGAAATATCAATATTTGAAAAGCTAAATTAACATGGCTGCGTGGTTTTAGTTGTATGTGTTTTTAGTTACTTAGATCACCCTCTGGATCATTGGTCTAGATTTTAGGAATGTTGATACACTGACTTGTGGATCCAGGTCTTGTGAAATCAGACAGAATAAGCAACTATAAAGAAAAACACTTGTCATATGATTGTTTGTCAGAATAGCAGTGGAGTTTTGAATCTGTGATTACTTAGTGCTGTTATTATTTTCTTTGTCTTTAGTTATTGCTAGTGCTACTGCTGTCTGGTCTATCAAACACAATTATCTTCATATTTACAACTTACTTACTAACATGATATATCTGAATGCATCACATGTCGGTTTAAATTCACTGTCAATGTGAGTTGTCACATATGTAAGATATTCGGACTAGATGTGAAATCTGATTGGTCAGAAATTCCAATGGAAGCAAACTCATCTGTTGTGCTTGATGATAGAAAGTCATCAGTTCATTAAAGTTATACTGTATATACATTTTGAACTGTTTTATTTATTTAAAATTGTAGTTGAAAAGAAAGACTTTCCTTTTTCATTGCATTTAATGTAGATTTTAGATGAAAATGATAGAGTAAGATATTGAAAATTAGAATGAATTTGCTGCTTTCATTAAAAAAATAAAACCTGTTGTACAATATAACAGGATGATGATCATAGCTAGCTGTTAATGTTTTGTGTCATCAAAAATTTACGATTGAAACAGTATTCCAGCATGGTTTAGTTGATACTTCAAAAGAAATCCATTTGTCTAGGTCATTGTGATGGGATAAAATGTATGATTGTTTATCTGTGCTAGGGTCAGTATGTGTATCATATTCATTAAAGAATACATTCGGCTGGTCTCCATTCAGTTGCTGGCATCATGTAGTTATGTGATATTTACTACCATAAACTGTTAAGTGTTAAAATTCTCCTGTTGGAATAGATAGATATATTTTTTTTGTTTTGTTTTGTTTTTTTTTTTTTTTTTTTTTGCTTTTTTTAAACTATGAGTTTTTTTGGCTAATGTAGAGTAAAATACTGTGATCAGAATTCTTAAAGGAAACTTATGAATATTAAAGCCATTTTTACAAACAAACACAGAATTGTACATGAGTTTTTGAATACACTTGATCAATGTGTACGATGTAGACAGTACATTTGACATACATAAAGATTACAGATAGAGTACAGGGAGTGTGAGCTGTGTACCTGAGCTGGAGTTTTAAACAAGCACACTAATTACTTTTGTCATTTCCATGTTAAGAGTTGATTTGTTTCCAAATTGAAAGAGTTGTTGCTTGTCTATAAGTCCAGCTTATTTTTACTGTAAGAAGTGTAGGATCAGTGACAGGATAGTTAGACTAACTATCAAATGGATTACTTATAGAGTGTCAGTACAGACATCTGCTTCAGTCCTCCTATTACATGTACTTTTTGTTCATTTATTTGGCATGTTGTTATTGACAAGATAAATAGATATTTTAACTTCCATTGGATTGATAAAATTCTATTCTCTGCAAATTCAAATACATTGCAGAATTAGAAGGTGCAGATATATACTCATAATTACTATTTATATCTATCAGTACAGACATCTAGAATTGTTTCAGTTCATTTGATTATTATTACTGTATTTAACTTGTGATAAGCCCATACCTTGTAATGAGCCAACCCAAATCTATAACTGTTACAGTTGTACAATTACAAAAAAGGCTTATTGTCCAGTAATAAGCATGTAGTCTAACTCTGAATCAGTGTTAATGAGTTGACCCCTAAGCTTATTGTCTTGTTATATGCCTGCTGTCCAACATTAAATCAGTGTTAATGAGTTGACCCTAGACTTATTGTCTTGTAATAAGCCCACTGTCTAACTTTGAATCAGTGTTAATGTGTCAAACCCCCTAAGCTTATTGTCTTGTAATAGGCCCACTGTCTAACTTTGAATCAGTGTTAATGTGTCAAACCCCCTAAGCTTATTGTCTTGTTATAAGCCCACTGTCTAACATTGAATCAATGTTAATGTGTCGACCCCCTAAGCTTTTTGTCTTGTAATAAGCCCACACACTATCTTTTTGTAAATATGTTGCACCCTTGAGCTTACTACAGGATAAATACATTAAATTTCTTGGACAAGAAATAAATTTTGTGTTACGATATGTCAAACTGTTTGTTCAAAATTATCATTCATGCGGTTTAATAATTCTTTGAACAGATGTTATGAAATCTTGTTAGATGACTTAATTGGTGTGTATATTTTCATTAAAGTAACTTCTGTAAAGATAAGTCAAACGTTTTGCTAAAGATAAAGATTTTTGCAGTTTGATAAATTCTTTGGACAAATATTATGAAAGCTTTTCCTTGGCTAGATGACTTATTTTGATGTGTATATTTTGCTTGTTGTAAATGCGCGATTTGCTGGCCTTTCTTGTTTTGATTTGGCACCTGCTAATTTGTGTATCATGATCTTACATACGTCACTTACAGGTCATTGTTGGTAAAGAACAGATCAATTCATGCATTGGTATACCTTAAAGTTTGTATATTGTTATACTCACATTTGTTTTGTGTTTATCGTATTGAGGGTTGTATACTGAAAATCATCTCCAGGTTTACTAACACAGCAGAGTGGTCACCAGTTTTCAATATTACACTGGTGCCAGTTCTAGAAGTATCAGTGATATTGTTCACTTCAAAGCATTACATTGTTTTTGGTTTAAACTATACAAATGTTTTAATTAAATTTCCTTAAAAGGAACATGAGAGATCCTTCCTTACAAGCTGATGGAGGATATTCTTATTTCAGATGTCTCCCATGATTTTTCATCGTTTTCAATTATTTTCATGAATCTATTTTCTTTGAATTACATATATTATAAAATTCACTTCTAATTTTTCCATAAGAAAAGGTCATTTTCAGGTAAATTGGGATAAAACTACATCTGACATGAGATATGTTTGTCAGATTATACACCACTATATATAAACTTATCATTCCAGTGCAAAATAAAAAAAAAAAAAAAAAAATCATATGTTGTTGGCAAAGAATAGGATCTGAAATGCAAGCTCTTTGTGACACCCTATACATGTATGAATTATCAAGTTTGTTAATGCAATGCGATTGTTTTAAGAAAAATATTATGGATTAAAATAGTAAAAAGTTTATTCATTTCTTTTGGTTTATAATCTTAATCGTCATTTTGTGTAGTATGTATAGTTTACTGTATATTTATGTACCTAGCATGAATTGAATTTTGATGATGTGGTTTTTCCCTGCTGTATATGTTCTCTGAAGATTCTCTAATATAGTTGTTAGTAACCATGCCTTACAGCCAATGTGAATTCATTAGTGACTGAGAAACAACCACAAGGTCTATGATACATACTTCTATTTCCATATTACAATATCACTAGATCTATGATACATACTTCTATTTCCATATTACAATATCACTAGATCTATGATACATACTTCTATTTCCATATTACAATATCACTAGATCTATGATACATACTTCTATTTCCATATTACAATATCACTAGATCTATGATACATACTTCTATTTTCATATTACAATATCAGAAGGAAGAACATATTGGCCCAAGGACAAAAAAAAAAAAATAACAATTTACTTCCATCTCCTGGTATAAACATTTTTGTGCTTGAACATCTTTCAGTATGTGTTTTCATTGATTTTTGATATAAAGCATATTTTGGTACATCAAAATAAATGAGCCAAGGTGAACACATCTGTCAGCATCAAACCCTTACATGCTGGAAATCCTGGAGACCTGTTGATTTTATAGGTGTTTGGGAATACATGTATTATGACAAAAAAATGCAATATGTATACACAGCATTGCAGATAGTAGAGCTCTGACTGGTAAATTGTATACAGAGTGATAACTGTGGTCTCTTTGTTACAAGAATAAAGAAGTATCATGGCAACAATAATGTTGATTTGTATGCAGCTCCTCTGCAATATTCAAAGATACCTATCAGCTTAGTGATTGGTCAGTTTGTCATGATTTTTAACCAATGAAATTGAGAACTGTGAACCTTCATTGTTGTCATGTCAATAGTTATTTATTTTAAGAAGGATGAATATATAATTGAAAATGAATGGTTGGAGTTCATTGGCTTCAGAAATTAGTTGATTATTGAAGAGGTCTAAACCATGGGTACGATATACAATGGTCATAGCTAGTGTTAAAATCTTATAACATCGTTAATATGAAAAGTGAACAATTGTGATGGGGCTTCAGACTTTCCATAATTGACATGAAAACTGAAAAAATATACATTTTCTTACTTTTCATTTCATGTGTAAAATTTATGAAATGTTAAAGAAGAGAACATGTTTTTATAGTCCAGAATTGGTCCCCCCCACCCTGTCCTCTCACTTTTTCCCCCTTACCTGTGATGGCTAAAGTAAGTATTTCATCTTTCTTTTTAGGTTTATAAATATCAGGTATCAGATAGATATAGTCCAAATTCTGAAACACAAATAACCAAAGAATTCAATTTTATTTTAGTTTTTTGTTTTTAGCCCACCATCATCAGATGATGGGGTATTCAAATCGCCCTGCGTCCGTGGTCCATCGTCCATCCTAAACAATTCTTGTCACCGCTCTTTCTGGAAAAGTACTGGGAGGATCTTTCTCAAATTTCATATGCAGGTTCCCCTTGGTACCTAGTTGTGCATTGTACCTTTTTAGGACTGATTTGAATTCAAGATGGCCGACAGGTGGCCACCTTGGATTTTGGATGTAAAATCTTGTTACTGCTATATCCGAGGAAGTACTGGATGGATCCTTCTGATATTTCATAGATATTGGTTTCCCTTGGTCCCTAGTTGTGCATTGTACCTTTTTTGGACTGACTTGAAATCAAGGTGGCCCACAGGCAGCTATCTTGGATGTCGACAGCACAAGCATATTGTCCATTATCCACCTGTAACTGACTGCTATCTAATAATACTTTGGGATCTTTTTCAAATGATATTTGCTGATAGGTGCTTAATAAAAATATCTTGTGCCATCATTGAGTACATTCAATGAAGACCAGTTCATGAACATTTACAACACCTGTAACAAACAAACAAAAAAATAAACAAATCTTCAAGAACTGAAAACAGATCCTCAAATGGTGGGCGCCAAGATCCCTCTGGGATCTCTTTTTTTTTTTTTTTTTTTCTGTTTTGTTTTGTGATGGTTTTTTTTTTCACTCCTATGTTTCTGCAGAGGAATGTATCACCTTATGATGACAATATATATACCTCATACAGTTCAGTGTTTAAATGTTGAGGACTAGCAGTCACCCCGGCCTTTTGATGATACAAGTATTGATAACTAAAACTGAAGACAAAATCTTCACATTCAGGGAATATTTATAATCATCTCTTCAGTAATTAATACATACCTATCTGACGTCAATTAATATTACAGCATTTGTTAATTCTTTTAGGTCCTTTATAAATCATTCCCGTTAGGCCTAGAATTGGCAGTGCATAGTTTTGTTATGAGTTATGAAATGAAACCCTACTGTATAAATCTCACACCCAACTTCAAAGTATTTGACATGAGATGCAGGCCATTAGGGTAAATATAGATTTTACATGATTTTTGGTTTTACAATCCACTCATACTATACCATTGTGAGTATAAAGAATTTTTTTGAGAAGTGATGAACTAGTGGTAACAGCTGAAATTTAATGGACAGATTTAAAAACAAGGGAAATAATGCAAATTTTTCACAAAATATTTGACTGTAGATTTCTAACCTTTGATAATTTGTACAAGTTATAAATGAAAATACCCGTGTATCCTGTAGCACATACAAGCATATCTATATACTGTATAATTTATGTATTTCACAGTATTTTGTTGCTCATCAAACAGAAAAAAAAAATCATTGGTATGGCCATTTGATTATGTTACAAGCAATCAACAAAAAAAAAAGACATTAAAAAGAATGGGATAACAAAATTCATCATCTTTATTGTTATTTTGTTTTGTTCTTTGTCGCAATAGTATGGAAATTTTACTTTTCTGTAAAATTTGATCAATTTTTCTCCAGAATTAGTGAACATTTTTAACTGTCAAATCTATTGTGTTTGCCCATTTTGTGTTTGTCACTCTCAAAATCAAAAGGGCACAACAAGGGGCCAGTGGGAACAAACAGTGAAATTTGATAAAGATCATTCAGGACTTCTGAAGAAATAGTGATAACAATATTTCATAGTCAAGTTGAGAAATATCCTTCCACGTGGTATTTGAGTTAAATTTTATTTCTTGCCGTGGTTACACAAGATCCTGTTCAAGTCCACCCCCATCTCCCGCTTAAGTTCCTACTTCCCGCTACAGGCCCGCACTGACTTGTCTAGCTCCCGAGCTCTAGCCTCCAACCACTCTCCTGCTCTTCTCCCGCTACTCTCCTGCTACTGTCTATTGTCTTAGTATTAATAATACCAAAACACTTCAATTCCAACTAAGCCCCGATTGGATGACAATACCCCACCCCGCGAGGCATATAATTATCAAGGCACGTGCAAGCTCATGTAACCTTATCTCAGGGATCCCGATGTACTTTACCGTCCAGTATGCTATCTACTCTGATCGACGATCCCTCCCCAGCTATCTCGCTACAGTGGCTAGGTGCGTGAGGCACACCCTTGATATCTAAGGGCTACCAAACTGCCTGTCCATCACAGGACGTTAACCCTGGTCCAGTGCCTGACTTTTGACACCTGTTGTTATTGTTTCCAGAGAACCTGTTGTACTTTAAATTTCTGTTTTAAATTATATTCTCTAAATTGTATTTCTACTACCCATTTTGTTACATACCTTCCCCACAAAGAATATTAACCAATATTCCTAAAATTAATTAAACAAAATGTGAAAACCAGTTAACTCCCGATCCACACTTTATCCTGGAAGGTTAAGTGATAATTAGTTTAGCCCAGTTCGTCTTTCTTCTCAGTGTCCTATTCTAACGAATAACAAGCATGCAAAATCTTTCACCAGTCAGTAATAATTCCAAAGTTAATATTTCCACATAATCATCCACAACACCGACGTGCCAACAGTACATGTCACTCATGTTAATGGCAATAATCCAGGGGTACACATAGAATTCCTTTACTAAGACACTGTCAATCCTGCTTGTTCCTATTAATAATCAATCAGGTTTAAAAATCCATGGTTTGTAATCACGGTCCATGATCACTGTTTAGGAATCCATCAGGTTAATCACACAGGATGATAGCTGACTATCACTCAACAGCTGTAATTCGTCCTGTGTCCATTTGTTCCCACGAGTAACATACTCCGTGCATCATATACGTACTGAATATAAAGGTTTTCGGAATGGCTATGATTATAGTCCGTGAATTCCACCGTCCTTATACGCAGACGTGTCCTCTGCATTTGTCCTTATAGCATCCTTTTCGCACAGTCCTCATTCATGTGAAGGACTAATAATTAAGTTATAATTCATGGACGTTGCATGTTATGTCCGTTATGTGTGGTACATGAGTTGTAGTATAACAGGAGTGTACTTAATGGTTCCTGAAGGCAGTATATGCAGTGCAACGAATATCAGCTGTTCATTGCAGTACCATATAAAAACACACGGGAGTTTATTTTATGTCCATTGAGCCAGATAATAATTCACATTATCCTGGGGAGTATACTTGGACTTAAATACTTATTTACAGTACAACACAATTGTTAATACAATACAGGTTGCGACGTCGTAACGGCTTGAGTACGTAATGTCCCATTAGCACTGGCTTATCACAGCCTAGTTCGCTGCATCGATGTCCACAGCGCGCTGGTTTCTTTCACTGAGGGATCTGGCTTGTCCCTTTCTGATGATGAGGACGTGGCATCCGCGTGTCCTGTAGCGTTGTCTACGCTTCTCGGTTTAACCGGCATCATCTCCATGTCTGGTGAATTTGTGACCTTGGGATCTGACCTCTTACGTAATAGTAATAGAATTTTGCTTTTCAATTTAATTCTCCAAAACAGTATGGCGAACCCGCCAGCTAACACAATGAAGGACAGCCCAATACATACAAAGACCCATGCAGACCATTTACTTCCCGTAGGTATTTTGCGCATCCCCCTTATCTCAGTGATAAGATGATTCATTGGAATCCGATCGATTTCTCTAAGCCTTTTTGGTATTTCAATGGCCTTAAACTGTGGTACGGCCCGTTTAAATGGTTCCCATAACCGAAGATTAATAAAGGTATCATTGTAAGCCAGTATCTGTGTCTCGGTAATGTTATATTTACTCTCCCGGAAGTAGTATGGCGGTAATATTAAATAGTCACTTGATGCGGAGCATGTCATCTGTAATTGGATGACGCCCATCGGGGGCTTAACTATTACCTTGTGATTACCCGTTTTGGTATTTGGACAAACTACAGCAAACCGCAGTTCTCTGTTTGTCACCACCACCTATCTTCCATCTACAATATACCTAGCCTTCGGTAATATTGATTCTGGTATTACCACCGTCTTACAGCGTTCTTTTATGCTACTTTTGTGGTCCAGAAATAGGGCAACAACACATAGCCGGTTTATATTTGTGGGGTAGATCGGGCTCTTAACTTCACAATAGCTAAAGCGAGAGTTACCGCATCTGGTTTGCTCTTCCGTATTCAACAACAAGAAGCGAGTACGGTCAGCGTTAACTGCTAACGTGGTCGCCTCTAGATCATAATGAGCAACCATGTCCCCTTTCCTCGCAGGTTCATGATACTTTATACCCACCATTGGGGAAGGAATATTGTGAACTTGATACATATCATATAAACTATCAGAGTCTAGTAGCGGAACACTAATTATTATGACGATCTTGTTTTCATCGAGTACGGTTGTACACGTCAGCGACTTATAGAAATTCCATAATTCTCGCCTAGGATCATAAGGTAATTTGAAGTGTGATGGCAATTGAGCGTCAATTTGGAGCAATAACGAACTCAGTTTCGTTGGAGAGATGACACTTGGGGATAAATGACCTAGTGAGAGCATGTTCAGCTGTAACTTCAAATTTTCAAGATAAAACATTCCTGCATCGCATAAATATTTGAGCTCGGCAAGGACCGATTTAAGCTGAGCATGTATCTGTACAAAGTGTTCGAATTCCCGAAACTGCCCTTCCAACACTTTTGTGGCATTCGCTATTTTATGGTCCAGCTCAAGGACATTCAGGATCAGTTTGTTGATTGCTTGTCTATTTTCAGATACCTGAACTCTTGTAATGTTTATTATCGACATACTGTCTTCGACAACATGGGCGATATGTTCTTGATTCCTTGCCAAGGTGTTAATACCCTGGTGAATAGAGTCAAGGTCATCTTCTGATACAGTACCAAATAGGAAGCTCAATGCCTTCCCTACTATTGGAAGTAAACTGCGTTTATACCGATTATTCATGGTCTTATATTCCAGGAATCCATCTTTAACAGAACTGTAACTGACATTTAAATATTCTAACTCTCTTTTGACTGCGGTTATAGTCTCTTGATACTCGCCCTTTGTATGTAATGTGAATTGTTGTTGAACCCGCGCATTTATGCGCGACGCTTCGGCTAGATCAAGATTTAGCTTTATTTGGAAGTTCTCGAAAGTTCGAAAGTCAATCACGGCCGTTACAAGCCATCGGGAGCGGGTAAATGATAGCTCATTGATCTTATTAAAGATAACATTTTCGCGTACAAGTAGGGATGATCTCACGTGTGGAACCCAACAACCTACCAACCCTACGGCAATTGTCAGTGCATGTATCAGCTTCATGGTGCTTAATTGTTAACGGGTGGAGATCACAGAAAATTTTACGATCAATGCAGGTCACAGATCCCAATTCAATATCTGCAATTACAAAACGATTAATATATATTTACAATCTATTTACAATGGTCAATTAAATGACTTATTAACCTTATTGACACGAAACCTTATATAAGTTTGCTCAACACATCTAACAAGGATTCCGCTATAGCTACTTTGCGTTCACCCTTTTTTGTTTTATCTTGAGAATTTAGGAACCGAGAAACTTGATTGACAGACATAGATTCGTGGTCGCTATCGACATTGTCACTTGCGCTATTGGAACTTGGGGCCTCCACAGGGTTTACGGTACTCCCGTTTGAGTCGGAGGCGGAGTGACTGGAACGATCGGGGGGGCTATTAGAAATTTGGGCTCGTTTCCACCGTTTTGTCAATTCCATCAGGGGGATGTTGTCCTCCCCCGATGAAGAAGACCTTTCCCGACGGAAACGACGGGCAATATCGGCTAGCGGTACATCAGAGTCGGAACTTTCCGAATCAGCGTCCGCACTATCGGTTGGCGGGACAACAAACTTCGCCCGACGTGGTGGACGACCTGTCGGTTTGTGGGGAATCTCCCATTCATCAATTTTAGCAAGGCGAAGGTGTTCGGCGTGGGCCTTAGTAACGGTTCCATCTAATTGATTTCTAATTACAAAGCTTACAGGTGTCGTTTGGGATATAATTCTATAGTACGGTGCCCATTTGTTATCCAGTTTATTTTTTCGGAGGTGGTTACGATAATACACGGGGTCACCGACTTTGAATTCAACGGGTTTAGTATGTCTATTAGCATAGCGTTCTTGTCGTTGTTTGGCCCTTTTGAGATTTTTATGGACTAACATAAAGGACTTGTGCTGCTGTTCAAGCGCAATTTGATGGAGTTCCTCTCCAACATACTTTCGTCGCGGTTGTAACAGGTTATCAACTGGCAGGACTACGTCTCTGTTATATAACAAGAAAAATGGTGAGAATTTGGAGGATTCACTGATGTTAAAGCGGACAGCTGCCAGCGTCTGATTGAGATATACGTCCCATGCCGTCGTGTCATCGTCAAGTTTTTTTGCCAAAATATCATGTAACGTTCGGTGGAAGCGTTCTACCTTGGCATTACTTTGCGGATGATAAAATGCCGTCGTTAGGTGGCTGATATTCAATACTGCTAAAGTTTCTCTCATAACCCTATTTTCATTTTCCGTCCCGTTATCAGTAACAATCTGTAATGGTGCCCCATATCGTGGAAATATTTCTTCAATTAAAAGATGGGCGATAGTTTCCGCGCTTTTGTCAGGTACGGCAAAGGCTTCGGGCCAACCGCTATACCAGTCTACAAAACTGACAATGTATTTGTTTCCCGATAACGACCTGGGGTAAGGACCTGATAGATCTAGTCCTACCTTTGCAAAAGGAAACGGCGGTATATCTGTTTCCTGTAATGGGGGTTTTCGTTTCTGTAGGCTTCTTTTTTGGCATGGAACACAATCAGATATGTAGGAATAGAGCTTTTTGTACAAGTTTGGCCAGAAATATTTTTGTTTAATTGCCTCATAAGTTTTATCTATGCCCATATGCCCGTTTTCATCATGATACTGTGTAACTACCTTGCCACGCAAGTGCTCCGGAACATATAACCTCAAGGTTGTCTTATTATCTGGGTCAGTTATGTAATACAGTACTCCCTCTACTAGCATGTATTTCCTATGTATCGCCTTACTGTCATCAGCTTCAGTCAGTTTTTGTATTAAATCAGCTATTGTCTCGTCCTTTGGCTGTTCCTGTCTCATATCGAGATCTAGCAAGGTCGGGCTCTGGATGTCAATGTCAGCGTCACCCGCTATCTCACAACTAGCAAAATCCTTGGGATCGAACTGATTGGAATTCAAGACCGCTATTTCAAAAGTTTTATCCGTAATGTCGGGGCAGTCATCGTTGGGGTTTGTATCGTCCTCTGTGGTGGTCTGTCCTGGGGACCTTGATAAGAGATCAGCACAAGTATTTTCTGTCCCGGGGATATACTCTACTCGACAGTTGTAGCCTGATAAACTTAACGCCCAAAGTTGGATCTTCCTATTTTGCATTGGAGAGTCTAATATGTACTTTAAGGGTTTATGGTCCGTTCGAATAACAAATTCCGCGTTGTGTAAATAATGGTCTAATTTTTGCAAGGCGTAATGAATGGCATAGGCCTCCTTTTCTATGGTGGACCATCTAGTCTGTGTATCGCTCAGTTTGTGAGACAGAAAGTAAATTGGCCTTTCATTCTTAATGTTTGGCAAGAAGGCCTTTTCCCCTATTGCCGACTGTGTGAGACACGCGCCGATGCATCTGTCACTAGCATCTGTGTACAGAATGTATGGTTGATTGATATCAGGATAAGCAAGATAAGGTATTGCCGTGAGACTATCCTTTAAATATATAAAAGCTTTTTCACATTCCTGAGTCCACTTAAATTTCGCGTATTTCCTTGTTAAAGCTATCAGTGGCTCCGCGATGTATGAAAAGTTAGGGATAAATCTGCGGTAGTAGCTAGTGCACCCAATAAATCCTCGTACTTCCCGTACGTTTGTTGGTGCAGCCATTGCTCTTATAGCCTCAACCTTTTGCATATCCGGCATAACACCACCTTTGTTGATAGTAAATCCTAAATATTTCGTTTCGGTCTGGGCAAAAAAACATTTCTTCAGCTTAAGTCGCAAGTCATGCTGACGGAGTCTATTAAAGACAATCCTAATATGTTCCAGATGTTCCTCTATTGTGGGGGAAAATATTAGTATGTCGTCCAAATACGCTATGGCCATATGGTCTAACCCTCGAAGAACTATTGACATAAGTTCGGAGAACACCGCGGGTGCATTACTCAGTCCGAATGGCATAACGTTAAATTCAAACAAGCCTTTATGGCAAACGAATGCAGTTTTCTCTCGGTCTTTTTCGTCCATTAGTACTTGCCAATAGCCCGATTTTAAGTCTAGAGTGGTAAAGTAATGTGCCTTACCTAGCAGGGCCAAAATATCGTCTATAAGCGGTAATGCATAAGAAAAGGGTTTGGTTATTTTATTAAGCTGCCTAAAGTCGACGCAAAACCGTTTTGTACCGTCCTTTTTGTCTACGATAACTATGGGAAATGACCATGGCGACTTCGACCTCCTAATAATGTTTGCCTCTAACATATCCTCTACGGCTTTGTCAACTACCTCCCGTTTACGCAGGGGGGTCCTGTAAGGTTTTAGTTTGATGGGCCCCTTACCTCCTGTGTCTATTTTCATGGTCACTGTGTCTGTATGGCTCAAGTCTCTGTCACTGTCTACAAAAAGGTCCCTATTGGTGTGAATCAACTCTGTGACTACGCCCCTATGCTCTCGTGTTACTTTAATTTCCCCTAAGTTGTCCTTAGTTACGGTAGCCGCCACAGATTTTGTTGACCTAGTATGAGTCTCAACGAGATTAGCTTGACCTAGGGATTCAGTCCTGCCAATTACACAACCGCGTTTTAGTTTATAATATTTGTTGGTATTATTAACAATCATAATGGCCAAGTGTCCACGGCTCGACACTTTTGTCACGGCATTACCGACCATGAGGCCAGGTTCGGTGCTGATGTAACCTGAATCCACAGGTTTTACCTGCAGTAGCTCTGCAGTTCTACGGTTTGCTGGTCCTACCCTACCAAGACATAAGGTAGCTGTTTGTGGTTTCAGACCAACCTTTTGCCTTAGGCGCACAAGTGATGCAATATGGATATCTTCCTCTAGTGGGATGTATTGATTCCGGAATCGTAAGGAACCTAGATCAAAATACAACCTCACGCCATTGTCTGTCAACCAGTCTCTGCCTAAGATAAAATTTCGATTCATGTCTGTGACCACATGAAATAACTGGGTTACCGTGGTATCTCCTAATTTAAATTTTATATCAACACAACCTTCTACCGGCAATGTGTCCCCATTTACCGATTGTAGCTGAATTTTTGGCTTCCTAATAACAGGGAATGGCTGTAAATGCCCCAAAACGCGCTTATGTACTAGCGAGATCTCTGCCCCCGAGTCAACTAAAGACCTATATCGCTGTTTCCCAATTTTTATTACACATGAACTCGGACTCCCTGCCAAATGTATCTTGCAAACTTTACTCTCCCCAGCGGTTTCATTCAAGGGAGAGCTACCTAGTTTTTTCTTTGTCTATATTGAGGGCACTCTCGTTGAAAATGGCCCCGATTCCCACAAGCCCAACAGAGCTGCTGATATTGGCCCGGACCAGCCCCAGTTCGACGTGTTTTCGACCTACATTCCTTAGCAATGTGCCCCGTTCTGCCGCAGTTGTGGCATTTACGGGTAGCTCTGCTATGTCCTACATCCATTGGCACTGCCGCAAGGCTAGTGTCCATGGGTTCCACATGCCTACCCTTGGTTACGGTATTAGTACGGAGCTGGAATCGCCGTCGCAAATTTTGTTCGGCCATAGCTACGTTCACCGCTTCCCGTAATGTTGGCGGATTTTCTCGCATTACCTTCATCTTTAAGCTATCATTAAGTAGCCCATCTACAAAGAATCCGACCAGTTGCTGCTCTACGGCTGGATTGCCCCTTTGCATGTTAGCATAGGCCTCATCGGCCAAAGCCAACAGTTTTTCGGCAAAAATCTGGACGCTGTCGTCCGATTTCTGCTTGGCTTTCCGCAGCAGAACAAAAGCATGCTGTGGATCGGTTATCTCCGAAAATCGGGAGGCAAGCTCCGCCTTAAGCTCTGCCCAAGTTCCCTGGGGGTTTTCTTCAACGTAACGTTTCACAAAATCTCCCACTGGGCCCTTACTAGCTTGGTACGCTACTAATTTTATTCTATCAGCAGCTATCCCGGTTAACGTAGCATATTTTTCTATCGATCCTACCCACTCTTTAAATTTCTTCGGGTCCCCCTCATAGCTGTCTACTGCGCCTGCAATCCCCTGGGTGTTGATGGCCGACGTGAGTCCAGTTAATTGGGCTGTCAAGTTTTCTATTAAAACACCAACATTTTCTGCCATAATTAATTTACTAAATTTGTTAGAATAGGTCTATCCCAATTAATCACTCACCTTTATAGAGAATCTGTCCTGTTATATATCCCTTTCAAGATGTTGGTAAAGTTCATAAATCCATGGACACACATTATTTTGTTTCCTATGACCTCTTTTTCCTGTGTTCTCCCAGGTTCGAAATCCTGCTGAACGGCACCAAAAATATCCACGTGTGTTACACAATAATTATTCCGACACGTGGTATTTGAGTTAAATTTGATTTCTTGCCGTGGTTACACAAGATCTTGTTCAAGTCCACCCCCATCTCCCGCTTAAGTTCCTACTTCCCGCTACAGGCCCGCACTGACTTGTCTAGCTCCCGAGCTCTAGCCTCCAACCACTCTCCTGCTCTTCTCCCGCTACTCTCCTGCTACTGTCTATTGTCTTAGTATTAATAATACCAAAACACTTCAATTCCAACTAAGCCCCGATTGGATGACAATACCCCACCCCGCGAGGCATATAATTATCAAGGCACGTGCAAGCTCATGTAACCTTATCTCAGGGATCCCGATGTACTTTACCGTCCAGTATGCTATCTACTCTGATCGACGATCCCTCCCCAGCTATCTCGCTACAGTGGCTAGGTGCGTGAGGCACACCCTTGATATCTAAGGGCTACCAAACTGCCTGTCCATCACAGGACGTTAACCCTGGTCCAGTGCCTGACTTTTGACACCTGTTGTTATTGTTTCCAGAGAACCTGTTGTACTTTAAATTTCTGTTTTAAATTATATTCTCTAAATTGTATTTCTACTACCCATTTTGTTACACAATATCAGTACCGTAAGCCTTTTGGTTGCTGATAAGTTGTTTGAAGATTTCAACAAATTTGACCCCGTGACACTGGAAGTGGTCAAGGTAATTCATTTTAACAAACATCTTCTCTCTGATTTTGATCTCACAATTTAGCTGCAGTACAGTATACTGAATATTTCTTTATTTGACAAAAACAATAACTTACAATCCACAATTGCAAGTCAAATAAATAACATAACCCTATACATCTATTTTTTAAATATTTTAATAAATTATCATTTGTCAGAAATATGAGCAATACAAACATTCAGTCAGTGTATTAGATGGACACACACATTATATCTGCCAAAACAGAACAGAAGAGAAGCTGAGTATCCTTGTAACAATTATATGTTCATCCCCTAAAAATGGTGTAGCATACAGATTTAGTGAGCTAGAAATAACCACCAATGAAAAGAAATCAAGGTCAAATTAACATCAATGTGGTCTTTTTTTTCCAAAATACTGACCTCTGACCCTGCATTGACCTTCAGCTGGAAATAGACTTATTTTTATGAATTCTATCCAACTTTTATGTTGCTTCCATTCAGAAACCAATATTTTCATAGATTGCACAAATAAGCATCTTTGACAAATTCTCTTGAAACCATGCATATAAAGACAGATGAACAGATACAAAAAGATGGGAATTATGAATAGAAAGATACAGAAAGTCAGGAATGAAGATAAATTATAGCAACAAAATCTTGACAAATGCACACATCACCATAAATCAAACAAACAGTCACATAATTCAATAATTTTTTTTTAGTATTTGCTGTAGTTAATGTTTATAAACAGACTGTACACTGTCAAACACATATACCACCAACAGGTCTGCATCTACAATAGTCAATACTGAGATGACTAGGAGATTCAAAGACAAATAGTATTTAAAATCTAAAAAATAAACCTGAATTTACATATTCCAACACAAGTTGACGGAAAATGGTAACAGCAATGCTACTCTAGAGGCTGAAACATGTTTGTTTTTTGGTAGTAAAATCATTTGGTTCATTTGAATCGTCTTTAAATTACTGTAATTAGGGTTGAATTATCAATCATATATACTCGTCGAAAGAAGGAACATATTATGTTTTCATGCGGGCGGGTGGGTGGCTGCACATAGGTTTCCGTTCGATAACTTGAATAATATTTTACAGATTAATTTGAAACTTCACATGAAGGTTTATTACCATAAAAGCCAGGTCAAGTTTGATAACCAAATTTTTTCGCCCCTTATTTACAGAGTTATGGCCCATGGTACATTTCCAAAATAGGTTTGATACAATGGATAAAGTGGTCATTGACATGACATCAAACTGTAAAATAGACCAATCTTGAAGATGATAAAATTGCAGTAAACAAACAAGTTGGCGAAGAAATAAAAAGACTTCGAGAGGATGAATTTCTACCCAGCATACAATTCCTGTACAAAATACCTTCTACATACAAAATAGCCTTTGTAAATGCAAGATCACTTCGCCATATTGAAGACATCAGATGTGACAACCTCATGTCCAGTGCATGTTGTGGAATCCAGATACATGTCTACAGATTCAAACATCCTTTCATCAATAAATGGATTCCATCAATAGAGATAGGATTCTTCATCAAAGGCTGACAAAAGGCCTCCTCATGGAATAGTGGTCTACAGTAAATTACCGTACAATCACGGCTACCCTATCAACATATCACACCCGCCTTTCATGGAATAGTAGTCTACAGTAAATTACCATACAATCATGACTACCCTATCAACATATCACACCCGCCTTTCATGGAATAGTAGTCAACAGTAAATTACCATACAATTACGATTACCCCATCAACATCTATAGGGCTGTGAAACTGTCATAATGGGAGATTTCAACGTTGATTTTAGCAACAAGCCCGCTAACCAAAAACAACTACAGTCGCTTACTTCAAAGATGGGTTGTTGACAACTCATAATAGAACCTACTTTGTACAACCATTGACTTGATGTTTTCCATTACTGTTAATAAACTTCTTATAGGTGTGATAGAAACCTTCTACTCTGATCTGATGGCACTTTACCATGGTAAGGTAATCCTTACAATTTTACTTCCAGTCAACATACCATTACATGGCCATGTTATCTCATCGATTTGACTATATGTGATACTGCACTGGACAATTTCCCCAATTCCACAAAGGGCGAATAATCCATGATTTTCAACCCAATCCTACAAATGATGGCAAATAACCTTCCTATGAATCGTCAGTGAACTTTTATTACGAAATATCAGTGAACTTACAATATTTATTAAAAGTCTGTAAACTTTTGTAAATATCATAATAAACATTCCTACAAATCATCAATAAGCCTTCCTATGAATGAAACCTTTCTACCAATCATCAATGTCCGTTTGTTTAAGAGTTGTCAGTAATCCTTCCTACAAATCAAAAATATCCTTTGCTACAAATCGTCTTAGCAGTTTTTGCACAAGCACCATTAACTTTATAGAAATTCAGTAGATAATCTTGGAAATCAATCTTACAACCTAGAAACCAAAATTATCCACCTGAAATTCATCCAGTTATGGTTGTTCAACTTAGGATGGGCGCATTTTGTAACGCTGGCGGAACTCTTGTTTATAATATTTCTTTCAGATTAATTTGAATGTCTCTGTAATGAAAATTTAGTCAATATTTCCCCATCATATTCTGGGATAAAATGAAATAGAGCATCCTGAAATAAACAAATGAGTTTATCACAAGGTATGTGTCAAATTGGTAAAATATACAAATACATTCAGTAATTATAACCAACCAACAAACACCAAAACAATGTAATGCATGTGCCTTAAAACTCACGAAATTCATGGGCAACCTAAATACATGTACATTTACCGTACAACATCAAACTAAAGAATTTAAACATCCAAACAGAATATATTAAAACATACAAAATTCATGTAAATGAATATCTTTTTTAAACCATATACAAGTGCACCAAATGATTTGACAAAAAAAAAGAAAAAAAAGTTGAGATTGGTGATAACGTTGGTAAACGGCTGAAAATCTCATGATTGTTTATCTAAAATACAATCAATATCCTGTATTGCCTTGGACGTTTTGAGGAGGGCTTGGCGGACAGCATTGAAGCCCTGTAGTGTGTCGTAACTGTTCATTGAAGCATTGTCAGTTATGTTCCTGCTCGGACCTCTTGGCCTTTGATACAAATTTTGGCCAGAAGCTGGCAGGAATTTTCTTGGTGGAATACTGTAACCCTGATTCCCAGAATTCCATTCAGTGATCATGTGACCATCTCCTGAGGCTGTAGGAGTGTGCCCTTGTGAAAAGGCTCCATGGTGACCTTGACTGTAATGTCCTTGATCCTCATCAGATAGCCATTTATTTGTAATGCTATCTGATTTGTCCAGATATCCTATTTGAGGAACTGAAGAATATTGCACAACGTTCACTCTGGTGGTGGATGGTTGGGATATCACAGCACTATCACTCTGAGATGATGTTTGTTTACCCATCGTATTGTCAACAATATCTTAATATTTTTTGTCAAAGAGGAAAAAAAATCACATAGATTCCAAGAGGAACAAACAAACTGTGGGGGGGAGGGGGTGGGGTTCACTGTGAAACAGTTCACCTGTTCTGCATCACACAAAACAGAGACTGAAGGTTTCTTAAGTTATTACCTGCAAACTAAAAAAGCCCTTTAGCAAAGAATTATACACATGTATACAACATAAATACCATGGCACAGGGTCCGTTTGTTATTGAAAAGTAAACTTTTAAAACATTTAGCTATGGTGATCTTAAAAGTGAGTCAAGGTCACTCATAAGAAGCATGCTACAGGTACAACATAAGTATCCTGTGTCTCTTAATCATTGAGAATTCATAAGATCTTCAGACATCTGACTCCTGTGACCTGTGAAGTAGGTCAAAGGTAAATCCATTAGATCAATTTGGTAGGACTTATCCCAGCATGAACGGGCCAAATTTTAGTTATTGAGAAGAAGTTGTTTGAAGACTTTAACATATTTGACCCCTGTAGTCTTTAATGTGGGTCAAGGTCATTCATTTAAACAACTTTATAGTCCTTCATCCTGCATGCTACAGGTCCAATATCAGTAACCTGAGCTTTCTGATGACTGAGAAGATTAAAAAGTTTAAAGTTGATGCTGGAAAGATGATGGAGAAAGAAAGGATGGCCAGACAACGGTGACACACTACAGCATAAACTTAAGGTAGGTGAGCTAAAAATTCAAACTGTGCTGATAGATCTGACATTTGTAAAATTCACATTCACCTTTATACTGATTGAAGTTAATGATAAGAAAGGATACAGTTAAAACATTTGATCTTCTGTAGCTCCTTGGCTGCCATCCTGAAAAAGGTACAGAACATTTAGTAAAATCTGTGAATGAAAGAAACCGTTCTACTTCTAACTAAAACCATCAGATCAATTTATCATCAATCAAGTATTTGTTAAACTTGTAAAGAAGGCAAACTGAAGATTTAATTTACCTATAGAGTAATCCAGGTTTCAAAAACTCAATGTTACAAATATAGTTTGATATGATTTGCTGAAAATATCTATCAATATTGTTTTGTAAAAAGTATGCCAGACCAATACATCGTTTATCATCAGGGTAAACAACAGAAAAAATCTTTCTTACACATTATGGTTGTCTTGCTTGTCCCAGCGTTCATAGAAATCTTTCCTTTGTCCAGGAGAACTGTTAACCCAAGCCTGCCATTCCATGGCTGCATCTGTATACCTATACATATATATATATATATATATAAAATATAGGTTTCTCCCTCCCCCGCCCCTTCCCCCCCGCAGATATTTTGGCATTCTTGGGATGTATCATGACAAAAGAAATGTTCTGTTTGTTCAATTTCATGAGGATAAATCCTTGATTTACAACTGAAATGAAAATCAAAATAAAGAAATTTATTTCTAACTTTAACATAATGTACCAAGGAGGAAAATGACATATATTTCTACACCATTATATATAACTGTTTACAATTATCACGCATATTAGTGACAGGCCTTGTACAGTATTGTCTGTTACTTAATTACCATAAAATCTTTTTGATTTAATAATATATCTTAAAATGAAAAATGCATATTGAAATTTCCAAATCAAATGATCATCATCGATTTGTGTGGCTGTTTGCTAGACTTCTTTTCAAGTGAACAGCCATTATCAGGTGGGATCTTCCTAGAGTAGTTGGTGCCTACCTACCTGAAAAGAATGTGGGAGGCCTATATCAATAGCATTTTAGGTGTTGACCAAGGACCAAAACTACCCTAGTTAGGGGTGAACACCTCAGATCTGCACCTGATGAAAAGATTTTATGTACATTGCTCTCACTCACTTTTTATACACCCCAGACTGATGGACATCCACTATCTGGTACTGACCATTGGGTAGGAGAAGCTTACACAAACCAGTCTGTTTAGCAGTTAAGTGCTGTTTTGTCACTAAAATGCTGTGATTCTCATCTGCTTCCATCTAAAGAGTGAAATGGTGTAAAACATAAGTAACAGCAGAGTACATAATCATTCTGCCTTCATTTCATTATCAATCATCTGTAGAATTAATTTTTTTTTGTCTTTGAAAATCTGGTTTAATTCAATGATTTCTGGCTGTTCCAGTAAAACATCATCCAAGGAGCAATACCAGATTTAACGGTAGCATCAAAAGAAACTGACCATTTGTTTAGACCGGCAGGAAAATAAAGCATGGTTACACCTTGTTTATAATTTTTTGAAAGAAAAAAATCTGAAGGTGAATTACAACTGGTCTAAGAATTATTCATCAATAACTAATTTAAAAGCACTCTGACTGATTTTTATTTCCCTACACTATTACACACTGACCTGAGCATCGCCTACTGATGTTCCTTCTGTGTGCTCCAGACAACTTTTCACTCTTCTACTGAAGTCACAAGTCATCTCTAAAGATGTGCGGTCATCAAACAAAATGCGGACATGTCCGTTGGAGTAGGCAGAAAATTTACCGTGGTTGGGAATGCAGCAATCCTCCAGTAACGAAGTGGGCAAGAGTTCTAGTTTTCTATCAACATACTGAAAGTCAGTAAAGATGAAATAAAATGTCCTACTCACTCTTAATTTTTCAATATACCTATATATCTGCAGTACATACTCAGTAATATTCGTTGGGGATTTAATTTTGATATGCTTGCATATCAAAATTGTCTGCCAAATATTTTACAGCACAACAAAACAAATCTGATTCAGATTTCCACGATTACTGAACTGTATACAAAGTAAGACTCCCATTAACCAGCCAAAATCATGACTATTACAAATTATTTGACCTGTAAAATTAAGCAACTAAAATATAGAGTATTTGGTAGAGAAACAGGAGTGTTTGGTTGAGTAATTATGAGCAGAATAGGAGAAAACCACTGTAAGATTTTGTAGACAGTTCAACCTACATTGAAATTTGTTTAAGGTTTATTGTTTACAAAACACTTAGTACAAAGTGGAGCTAACAGCTTGGATTTTTTAATTATAATTTATAAAATTAATTTATTATTGTTATCAATAATCATGTCATTTTATTTACATAACTTTTTCCCATCCATATACATGTACTTCATGCAGTATTGAATTTTAAATGGAAATTTTAAAGTTTTACATATTTGTTGGAGATAAAATCTTAGTAATATTGGGTTTACTATACATACTTTAATTTGATTTGAAAGTTTATATTTATGTAATATAAATGAACATCTTTTCAATTTTTATTTAATATTTAAACTGTGTTGTGTTTTAGTTATTTTTATCGAAGTATGTTTTATGATTCAAAACTTTAACTTAAGAGTAACATTAACAACAAGGGCCATTGGAAAAAATCATGCCCCCTTAATGGGACAAATTTAAGAAGGAAAAAAATCAAGTGGAAAAACTCCTGAATAATGAAAAGAGTGTTACGGTTCTTATACACTGCAATTCTTATCTCAAGATCGATCTACCTATGAACTTTCATGTTGATACCTCTTATAGTGTTTGTTTTATGCTCCAGACAAAATTATGAAGGTCGGACGGATGCTGACAAAGCAGCAACTATATGCTTTGAAGAAGTTGAGATAACACAAACCTTCCAGCAACACACATCAGCATTAGTAATCATTTTGTCCTCTTGACCAGCTTGGAGTAAAAGCCTGTCATGAAAAGTGAGATCACATTATGGTAATTTATATTTCCAATCAATTTGAAAAAATTTTGTCCAACCAAGCATACATGTATTTGCAAAAATATATTTTGCTCATTCTAGGAGATCGTACACAAGATACATAAATGATAAATACCTTTAAATACAAATTCAGAATAAGAGGCAGATACATTAGAGCTAACTAATGAATTAAACATACAGATGTTGCATCCTCATACAGGTCAGCTATACTAAGGTCCTAAAACCTAGAAGGTGACCGAGGCAAGCACAAATGTGAACCAACACTGTAGTTCGACAAATTTTGTATTTTCATACAAGCCAAATATTTTTGTATCTAATTTTGCTTCCAATGAGAAAAGATTTTCAATCACAGCTGCAGTCCCTCTACAAAGTGCCCATAAGCATTCCATCATAAACATTTTCCCAGTTTGATAAGATATAATTTTACCCATTGACACAACCGCAACATTTCATGTATAATGACACTCAATGCAGCAATATTGACTCAATATGTACCAGCAAAGCTAGTTTCTGAATATAACAATAACCATCTTTTGCATAAAAGATTTAAGTCATTACTTTGCTGCAGAAAACAACAATGTCACCCAGTTTACCTGTGTGCCCTCTTGATGAGCTTCTCTACAGAGTAAGCTGCCTTTGGAGGAGTGGGTGGGGCAGATTTCAGGGAATATGTTCTTTCTTCTACCTGTAAAATATTGATACAACCGTACATAAGTTTAAAGTACTTTCTCCTTAAAATGTCTTCACATCATGCTAGAAAGTCTCTTTGTGGCGCACTCTTTGCGAAATCAATTTCAGTGCTGGTATAGAAAACTAAAATCTGAACTCACACTACTTTAGAAGCATTCATTTTTGTAAGTGTATTATTTTCATTGATTTTGTAGGTATTTGAAACATTTTTTGAGCTCTTCAACCGAGAATAAGCTACAAGCTTGACATCATGAATCTAGACTTTTTGATTATTGTAGCCAATTTGCTTTACAGGAAAAGGTAATAAAAAAAAACTCCTCTCTGACTTAAGTTCCAATGACCTTCAGGGTGGGGGGCTAACATAGCTGGACTTACCGATCTGAAATTTACACTAAGCAAGATTTTTTCACCTATGGTGTACTTTCAGAAAACATAAAAACAAAACCTTGTCATGGCCGCGAGGGATGACATGTTTGAAGAAGTGTCCAGACAATCCCTGTGATGTGATTACACTGCCGTCACCTGGAAATATTTCCACCACTTTAGTCGTCGCCAGCCTCACAAACCTGTTTAAACCAGTTCATATAAATCATGTGATAGACAGAGAAGAAACATGAATTTAGAGTATAAAAGTCTGAACGACACAAAATTAGAAAATGTCCTTAAGACATGAGTGTTAATGTCCTCACTCCCATGTACCTGTCATTTGTGACCTTGACCCTTTACCTTGACTAATGATCACCTCTGAAAATGATAGTGTTTAGAACTTAATGCTATAATGCTACGGTATAAACATAACTTAAATGTAATAGGAGGTTCTCGATACATGACATTGATCAGGATTATAACTGGACACAACATCATAGTCACATGACCTGACAGGACAAAGCTAACATTACATGCTCCTCAGCCACCAATGAAATTGTGGTGGTATAAAAAAATGTCTCACCTAAACACAACTCCTTCTATTAAAAGCACCTTCAGCTTGCCTTGTTTGAATATGGCCAGATTTGCCTCCACATCTTTCTCATCATCATACAGGTACTGACCTCCAAGGGAGTGAAGATGTTGCCCTTCACAGCTGAGAGGTAAAGGGCGGGGCAGAGTTGACAGGACACATTTGTTCCTAAGCTCACTTCGAGAATTGGATAACGTTTTCTTTGGGTTGGAGCAAAGCTTCACTAAAATTATTCATAAAATGCTATTGGTCATTTTGTTGTACCTTTATAGATGTAGAAGGTATTAGGAGACTTCGTAAATTGTCTGTTAAAAGGGAAGTAACTGGTGTTTATTTAAGGTAAGATGTGTGGTAATGTATTGTAGGTTTAATGTCATTTTGAGACAAAAATGTCAAAGAAATGATGTTCAAGTTGGAGTTGATAAAGGGAGCTAACTCTTGATATCTACAAAATACTTTTTAAAAGATCAAAAATGCTTTTATTGTATATCCGTCATGCCATTTATAAATTTGTGTAATTTGACCCAGTTAACAAATAAACGTAGTCTCTCTCTTCTTTTTGGGTAAGAATTCTACCTCATTTCATCTTAACACTTCTTTTTTAATCTTACATGTGCACTCTGCTAAACCTAAAAAAATATCCTACGTTTTGAAAAAGAAGTATCTGCCATGGCTGGTCAGATATATCTAAAATTATATAAATAAAAAAAAATTGAATACTACCAACATTATTTTCTGATTACAACAATAACCACTTTATCGTTAAAATAACCTACAGGCCTTCTGCTCAAGGCTTTCCCTGTTGTCCAGTACAGCTCGGGCCAAATTGACCGGGTGACTCCAAACCACTGGACATTCCTCACATGAGTAGTGTCTTGTAACCCATGTGTAATGTATGCGAGCCTCGGGCAACTCCATGGATACTGCTTTCCTGTCTACCAATTGGCTACCTGGACTGTATTCCTCCCATGACCCAACTTCCCTTACACCTGATTGGTTTCTTGGAGAGGACTCCTCCCATGATCTATCAGTTCTCCTTTCTGATTGGATACTTGGGCTGGGCTCATTTGATAATTTGCCTTTGATGAATTTATCTTCATTAAAGTCAGTCTTTGGATTGTTTTCATCTGTAATTAACTGTCTTGATCTAAACACAATTTGAGGAGGATTTTGAATATCACTCGAGTTGCCATTTTGACTAAATTCGGTCTGAACTTTTGTTCTTCGACGGTCTTGTGTTATTGACACGTTTTGACTGGTCAATGTTTCATCAACAGCTGAGTCAACGTCTTCACTTTTATCTTTACCAGAAGGATAATCAAGAAAAGATCCATCATCTTGATGCTCGCGTTTGTACTGTTTAAAGGTAGCACCCTTTTCATGTATAAACTTCTGTGACCCTGCCCCGCGGGGGTCGGTTTGGGCATAAGTCGGTGTGGAATACAGACGATATTCCTCCTCTGTACAAGGTGATGACTTTTCACTGCCTAGTCCACTTATAAGACTTATAGGGGAGATACTTAGGTCACCGGTCAATCTGCGCTGGAGGTCATCAGACAGTGGACTGCCACTATACCCCTCCACAGAATCTATATTTCTCATCAGTCGGCCATGACCTACATTTGAACTTGTGTCCTGATAATTTTTCTTGTCATCATTAAGTTTCGGAGTTGGTGAATCGGTCTGTTCCTGTTGGTTGTGAGGACTTGTCAGTGCTGTATTATCTGATCCCATATTCACCTTTTCAGAAGTATTTCTTATCTCTGATGATATGTTAGTTACCACACTATCAGAGTTTAGTAAGCATCTATCCGAACATTGATTTCTACTGAAGAATCCATTTCCTGGTGAAATTTTTTGTTTTTCCTTGACTTCAGGCTGAAATCCATCCCTGATCAAACCATTTTCTGTTCTTTTGGTTGCAGATGTCATACTCTTGGCCTTGAACTTATGTCTTGCCTTGACCTTGGGTTTGTCCTGGCTGACCTTGGACAGATAGCAGATGGTGAAGTCTTGTTTGTGAGTAGAGAATACCATACTCGAATGCTCATCCTCAGATATCAACCTGACACTACCATCAGGAAGGTATTCATATGAAGCTTTTTCAAGGGTCTGTGGCCAAGCTACATCACTTATATCAGCATATAAAGGCTGCAAATAAATGAAAACTTCGAATGCTGATATAATTACAAACCATATGTGTTACATACGATACACCAATAAATCTATCAGCGAAGGGAACAATGTGGTTCAAATTAAAGTTTTTGGATTTACATAATATTAATAAACTTAATTTATTTTACAACAATTGCGAAGCAAGTGATCACTCTTGTTGGCTCGGATGGAAGCGCACGAGGGGTCTTAGTGTGGGAGGAAACTGGAGTACCCGGGGAAAACACCCGTGGTCGGGCAGGTGACCCCATACCTTTTCACATCCATTCCGGGAATGAAACCCAGGACGGCTAGGTGAAAGGCATTTACATGTATATTGGTACTGCACAAATCACAAAAAAAAATGTGCAGATTCCAAGCGGTGACAGTAATGCTTCTTGAGTAAGGTTAAATATTTCCATCTATATTTCCCTATATCACTGCCAATTATTTATTTCTGTGTTTCCACAAGGGATCAAATAGACTGACAGCTCTGCTTAATTAGTGGGTCTCCTGATTTACTATCCTCAAATAATCAAACTAAAGTGAAGTTCTGGTTCTAGTCAGACAATGTATTGGGTCATATTTATCTGATGTGAGTTGTTGTACATACCACCAGCTGGTCCTGTAGAAGTAGGTCTGGACACACATAAGGTCGTTCTGCAAATCTGTTCCTGAAGTCGAGTGCTTCCAACACTTTCTGTCTGTAGTCACTCGTCACAAACTGACAACGATGACTTATCATCTTCATACCTGTACGAACCATAAACTTCTTGTCAATTTTACTCATTTAGCAATAACCGAATATTTAATAAGAATCCAGTTCAAAGGCTAGGTCTGACTGTACAATCAAAATAACCTATGAATTTTTTTTACTGCAATATTGCTACAACCAGACTTTGAGCAACAGCTAATGTATTGCCTGCCTGGTTTTATTCAATATATACTGATAGTTTTAAATTCAATACTAGTCTCATTAACTTTTCAAACTTTCTTAAGTCCAAAAAAAACACCATTATTTTAAAGACTGATTTAAAACAAAGATTAGGCTCACCTCATCGACTTCTTTACTTACCATGAGCAGGGTGAATGGTCTCCCCTGGATTCTGGTAATGCACAAAAGTAGAGCCGCATGGTGCCATTCTGAGACAGGACCCATCTGAGTACCTGACCTCGGTGGCATCATTTGTATATAGGACCATGAGGACTGGGACTACAGGCATAGTGCTTTTTCTCTAGTCTTTATACATCAGTGTTGTCAACTGGCACCTAAGGTTTCTTTGAATGTGTTCCACATCTCCATTAGTCTCTGAAAAATACATTAATATGATATTATACCCCATTTGTATAGAATAAAGTGAGTGTCTTTGGTATACCTTTTTTTACACATATCGTAGAAGAAGTATCATTCTGATATGTGTTCTGAATTCGCTTGATTAACTAGTACAAAAGATGCTGTTAGAAATTGTCATATATATATGCTTTTTAATCATATTACTTAATCTAATCTAGATTAATTAAAAAATCAACATCTTCCCTGATTTAGGCGAGTCCTGTCTAAACTAAATTATTTATTTTTGTTTAATATTTGATCCAGTTTTAAAATACAAAGAATTCACCAAACAAATACATAAATTAATTTAAATATATTCATATTATAAGATTTATTTAAAACACTTAGCAGTAATCATGAAACACCAGTATTTCTCTAAAAAAATATAACCAGATCTGACCTCAAATTCAAGTTAGATTCAAGTTTGTATTTTTTAGTTGTATTTTCTGTCTTAAATTAATGATATTTCTTGGCAAAATTCTTTGTATAACATAAACTTTTTATTTTTTTTTTTTTTAATTATTTTTTCCAATAGCTAATTTAAATCAGAAATGAGTCACCAAAAAAGATCATTTAAAAACCACCGCTTTTCCAACATAAGGCCATGCATGTTTGGACTTCCGTAACCAAAAAAATGCAACAAGACCTGGCCTATTATTCATGGTTGATTTTCATTCACTTGTCAGACGACCACAAAACACTTGCATCCGGGGATGGATTAATTGGTTATTTCATCATATCTGTGAGGATGTTTGACATGTAAAAATGTGTATTCAGAAAAAACACAAATTTGCCAATGAAATATTAACACATAATATTTAATGGTAAATGGTTTTAATCACTATTTTCTATTCTTTCTGGAAGCACGGCATGTTACAGCAACCAAAATTATCTAGGAGTGAGGTCACGCAGGTCGACAGTTCATGACACTTGGTACGCCTCGACAAACGGCCATACCGACATGCATAACGGTCCGGAACCAATGTTCAAAATATGGATTAAATAAACACAAACTCTTACATTCTAAACCACAATGTTACAGACTTAATCATGGATCACAGTTTGTCAGCTGAATAACAGGAATCACACATATATGTTATAATGAATAGTACAAGCCACGCACATACATGTATAATATATAATACTATTTGGCCTAATATAGCGATGTAGAAGTATCCGTCAAAACCGGTAACGCGTCAGAATAGTAAACTCTGAAACGTAACATAGTGTACCTCTGTCTATCAGTGACGATACTCAACGCCTCTTGTAACATAAAACATCGCGTGTCGTTGCTAAACATGGCGTACTTTTGTAATATGAAATATCTATAACTGAAATACCTATTGTGAGTAACGTTGTAATGTAAACATGTTCATGCCCTCCGCCATCAGCCATCTTGAAATGTGATTGATCATGTCTGAACTTGATTAGCCAATCAGAATCTATGCAAGGGAGGTAACTCTTACAGTATTCGTTATCTAATGGTCTGAATTGCTCACATGTACCACACAAGAACCCAAAACATGATACTTTGCTAATTCTTGTGATTTTCAAAGTACATTTGCTTTCTTTATATGAACCACAATAATAGGAAAAACATACATTTTTTTTTCATTTTTCTCCTTTCGGATAATCAATAGAATAACAAATAACTAAACAAAGTTGTTTTTTTTTAAAGAGATGATTTTGATTACATTTTAATAAACTTAATTTTGTTATGAAAATATGCTTAGAGTTCTGGTACTTATCAGTTACTTTCACGCATTAAGCAAATTCACGCAGACTAATTCACATCCGCGTGAAAATGAAAGTCGTTGACATCAAACTGTAAGCATCTATACGTCTCGTTAATGATACTAATTAGTTAATTTCCTGTTACGGACATAGCAGGAGCACTCGGGCGTTTAACAATGATTGAAATATAGATTTATTGCAATATACACATTGGTTTCTGATAAATATATAGAGAGATTTGTCTCAAACTAGCAAGTGTTATAGTAAAGTTATTTTTTATTACCTGACCTTGTGGTTGAAATGATGACTTGTTGTTTTGAAAAATAACATTTTATAGGCATTTAATTTCGTTAGCGGATAATACTCAAGAAATTAACTTATTCTAAAAATTCATGTACTATTCTGGACTGTCAGGTGAATTCATGGCTTGCTAATAAAAGTACCAATTTGTGAAAACAGAGAAAATAAATTAACCACAAAAAATCATGATTTTAAGAATTTCTCCGATTCAAAAGTCCACAAATAGACTAGTATTTACTGTAACTGCTAAGCCAGTGTCTTTTAGTGACATTTTAAGCGACTGTACACACTCTGTTGTATTGGACCAGAGAGAGCACTTTCATGGATTCCGAAGGCACCGCACTAGCCAGCTTCTCTCACGGGAAGGTGATAAACAAACAACATGCCCTACTTAAACAAGTCTATATACACATTCCTATACAGCAATCGTTATGTAGTTCTCATAACAAATTACACATAAATACTGCTCTAACACTGATTAAGGATTATAATGTTTAACAAGACAGCCATAAAAAACACTATAAGTAATGTAAATGTTCAGCACGTAAGTCCAGAAAGACAGCGTAGTTAGTGTTCAGGACGTTAGTCCGGAAAAAACAAACCTAGTTAGTGTTCAGCACGTTAATACAGAAAGATATACCTAGTTAATGTTCAGCACGTTAGTACAGAAAGATAAATCTGGTTAGTGTTCGGGACGTTAGTACAGAAAGATAAAACTTGTTAGTGTTCAGCACGTTAATACAGAACGATTAACCTGGTAAGTGTTCAGCACGTTAGTACAGAAAGATAAATCTGGTTAGTGTTCAACACGTTAGTACAGAAAGATAAACCTATTTAGCGTTCAGCACGTTAATACAGAACGATTAACCTGGTAATTGTTCAGCACGTTAGTACAGAAAGATCAATCTGGTTAGTGTTCAACACGTTAGTACACAAAGATAAACCTATTTAGTGTTCAGGACGTTAGTACAGAAAGATAAATCTGGTTAGTGTTCAGGACGTTAGTACAGAAAGATAAACCTGGTTAGTGTTCAGGACGTTAGTACAGAACGATCAACCTAGTTAGTGTTCAGCACGTTAGTACAGAAAGATAAATCTGGTTAGTGTTCGGGACGTTAGTCTAAAAAGATAAACCTGGTTAGTGTTCAGCACGTTAGTACAAAAAACAAACCTGGTTAGTGTTCAGCACGTTAGTACAGAAAGATAAACCTAGTTAGTGTTCAGCATTTTAATACAGAACGATTAACCTGGTAAGTGTTCAGGACGTTATTACAGAACGATAAACCTAGTTAGTGTTCAGCACGTTAGTACAGAAAGATAAACCTGGTTAGTGTTCAGGACGATAGTACAGAAAGACAAACCTGGTTAGTGTTCAGGACGATAGTACAGAAAACCAAACCTGGTTAGTGTTCAGGACGTTAGTACAGAACGATAAATATAGTTAGTGTCCAGGACGTTAGTACAGGACAATAAACCTGGTTAGTATTCAGCACGTTAGTACAGAAAGATAAATCTGGTTAGTGTTCAGCACGTTAGTACAGAAAGATAAACCTGGTTAGTATTCAGCACGTAAGTACAGAAAGATAAACCTAGTTAGTGTTCAGAGTAAGACACACGTTATAAACCTGGTGTTCAGTGTAGTACAGAAAGATAAACCTACGTTAGTACAGAAAGATAAACCTGGTTAGTGTTCAGCACGTTAGTACAGAAAGATAAACCTAGTAAGTGATCAGGACGTTAGTCCAGAAAGACAGCGTAGTTAGTGTTCAGCACGTTAGTACAGAAAGATAAACCTAGTTAGAGTTCAGGACGTAAGTACAAAAAGATAAACCTAGTTAGTAGTTCAGTTCAGAAAGATAAATACTGTTCAGCACGTTAATACAGAAAGATAAACCTGTTAGTGTTCAGACGTAAGTACAGAAAGATTCAATCTAGTTACTGTTCAGGACGTTAGTACAGAACGATAAACCTAGTAACTGTCCAGCACGTTAATACAGAAAGATAAACCTGATTAGTGTTCAGGACGTAAGTAGAGAAACATCAATCTAGTTAGTGTTCAGGACGTTAGTACAGAAAGATAAACCTGGTTAGTGTTCAGGACGTTAGTACAGAACGATCAACCTAGTAAGTGTTCAGCACGTTAGTACAGAAAGATAAACCTGGTTAGTGTTCAGCACGTTAGTACAGAAAGATAAATCTGGTTAGTGTTCAGCACGTTAGTACAGAAAGATAAACCTGGTTAGTGTTCAGCACGTTAGTACAGAAAGATAAACCTAGTTAGTGTTCAGCACGTTAGTACAGAAAGATAAACCTGGTTAGTGTTCAGCACGTTAGTACAGAATAATAATCCTGGTTAGTATTCATCACGTTAGTACAGAAAGATAAACCTGGTTAGTGTTCAGGACGTTAGTACAGAACGATCAACCAAGTAAGTGTTCAGCACGTTAGTACAGAAAGATAAACCTGGTTAGTATTCAGCACGTTGGTACAGAAAGATAAACCTGGTTAGTGTTCAGGACGTTAGTACAGAACGATCAACCTAGTTAGTGTTCAGCACGTTAGTCCAGAAAGATAAACCTGGTTAGTGTTCAGGACGTAGGTAAATAGCGAAAAACCTGGTTAGTATTCAGGACGTAAGTAGAGATCGATTAATCTAGTTAGTGTTCAGGACGTTAGTACAGTTCAAACGTACAAAAGATAAACCAAGTACATAACGAAAAACCTGGTTAGTGTTCAACACGTTAGTACAGAAAGATAAACCTGGTTAGTATTCAGCACGTTAGTACAGAAAGATAAACCTGGTTAGTGTTCAGTACGTTAGTACAGAAAGATAAACCTGGTTAGTGTTCGGGTTAGCACGTTAGCACGTTAGTACAGAAAGATAAACCTTAGTTAGTGTTGGTTAGTGTTCAGGACGTAAGTACATAACGATAAACCTGGTTAGTGTTCAGGACGTAAGTACATAAAGATAAACCTGGTTAGTGTTCAGGACGTAAGTAAATAACGAAAAACCTGGTTAGTGTTCAGGACGTAAGTAGAGAACGATCAATCTAGTTACTGTTCAGGACGTTAGTACAGAACGATAAACCTAGTTACTGTCCAGCACGTTAGTACAGAAAGATAAACCTGGTTAGTGTTCAGCACGTTAGTACAGAAAGATAAACTCAGTTAGTGTTCAGCACGTTAGTACAGAAAGATTAACCTGGTTAGTTATCAGCACGTTAATACAGAACGATTGACCTGGTAAGTGTTCAGGACGTGTTAGTGTTCAGCACGTTAGTAGTACAGAAAGATAAACCTAGTTAGTGTTCAGCACGTTAGTACAGAAAGATTAACCTAGTTAGTGATCAGGACGTTAGTCCAGAAAGACAGCGTAGTTAGTGTTCAGCACGTTAGTACAGAAAGATAAACCTAGTTAGTGTTCAGCACGTTAGTACAGAAAGATAAACCTGGTTAGTGTTCAGGACGTAAGTACATAACGAAAAACCTGGTTAGTGTTCAGCACGTTAGTACAGAAAGATAAACCTGGTTAGTGTTCAGCACGTTAGTACAGAAAGATAAACCTGGTTAGTGTTCAGCACGTTAGTACAGAAAGATAAACCTAGTTAGTAATCAGGCAGTTAGTCCAGAAAGACAGCGTAATTAGTGTTCAGCACGTTAGTACAGAAAGATAAATCTGGTTAGTGTTCAGCACGTTAGTACAGAAAGATAAACCTAGTTAGTGTTCAGCACGTTAGTACAGAAAGATTAACCTGGTTAGTGTTCAGCACGTTATTACAAAAACACAAACCTTGTGATTTTCAACACGACAGTACTGAGAGACATAGTGACCTGTTCAATGTTAGTTAGGCCCTAAGTACAACATCTGGCAAAGGAAAACCTTCTTTGGACCGTATAGCGTCTTACATGACACAAATAATTAACATATTAACGACATATCATTCTCACTGATTTAATCAACGTTCCCGTTATAGGTGGCGTTTTAAGTATTACACTTACTACCACTATGGGATAGCTTCTTATCATTATATACGCCATTAATATTTGTCGTCAGAGAAATAGTTATAATTTTTATCATTATGTTTGCCGTTAAGAAAGGTATGTGATAATTCCCACGACAGATGATGTAAGGAAGGGTTGTTTCTATGTAAACCTGAACACGTCAGAGAACATACATATTGTACCCCATTATTACTTCTTTGTTGTGATTCATTGAGAGGGAAACCACTGAGGCGGTTGTGTAAGTGCCCGGATGTTTGGCACACACACGTACCACCAAGAGATAAAAACTACACACGTGTGATTCACAGTGAAATATATACGACGTATTACATGTACAGTGATAACATTTTCTAATTCCTCTCGACGATATTTCAGATTTAAACTCAAGGTAAGTATACACCATACTTATTGTAGTTATACATATATGTGTGGTACGTTTGTGAGATACAGTGTACTTGTTTATCAGCTTCTGTTTACTTGTGTATACCTAATGGTGGTAATTTTAGCTGGAAAATTGGCCCTATGTATATCCTACACTATACAGATGTGAACTCTAATGTTGCCGGGGTGTTTACGTATTGGGTAAAATTTCATACAGGTGGACAAACTTGTGAGTTCAACGGCCCATACACTATTGTCTCTCTGTTTGTGTATGTTTTAAAACAATTTTCATTTGTGAATTCATATGATATGTTATTATCATGTTTCTTTACTCCTGCTGACTGACGGCCTTTAGCATGTAGACATCCATGTAGGTATAACATTTACTGACCCGATATAGTATATGAAGTTAGCTTTAGTGTTTCATTTCATGTTTATTTCAGAAATAAGACCTGTGTTGTTTTCAGACCTCTCACCCTTAACACCCTGCATGTGTTTCACAGTCTAGGTACACATTTTGAACACATCTGAGAACACACGTAAGATATAAAATGACGTATCATAGGATTTTACCTGAATATACTTAATTAAGTTAACTTAATTCCAAACGAAAGAGCACAAAACTACGGGGATATTATAATTAAACCCTGAAGATATGTCGACATCTTGAAGTCAGGGAAATCTTGCCCATCCTACCGATCGTAAATCAAGCTGACTGGTGATAGGAAAAACTGGCACAAGTCATCACATCTTTGTGTGCTTTGTATTTTCTTAAATGCTGTGTTAAAAATAGAACAGAACAAACAACTACTACGTGTATTTTATACAACTCGTATAAAAGGACAGTAGTGGACTTCCTCTCTACGACGTGTTTGCAAATGATTTACACGTCTGTAACGTTAAGTAATTTATTCATCAAAAGATACTGTGAAACATTTCAAAGCAGACAAAACTATTGAAGCTAACGTAGTCCGACATAATTACACCATATAAGGGCATTACCGTCTCGATGGGCGTGAAAAATATTTGCGGGACATTAGCATGTACTTGAGTGGGTACAGTGATACATGGGTACGTGACAAGGTTTTGGCCTGAAATCGGTAGAGAGAATTTTATGTGATGTGTTTTGACCTGTTGAAATTTTATGTATGCAGTGTGTCCGTGAAAACTGAATGAGTTAAAAGCTGCACTGGTGTAGGCGAGTTCAAACGCGACAACCACGGATTAGTTTTCCGACGGCTATTTCTGAGAGAAGAAAGAAAGGAGGGCGGTGACTGATGAAATTTACGATAGTAGCTGTTTGGTAACGTGATGAGCCATGAAGAGAGAAGGTCAAACGTTTATAAGAAACCGTGTAGTTTGTTTCTCATTTTCTCCATTTAGATTCTCCCGATAAAATAAGATAAAGTGTACCATCTCAGTTTTATGTGATAGATCTTGATAGAACATACATTTATTTTTAGGACAGCGTTTTCTCTCTCTTCCTATTGGTGTTATGACAGCAATGTGTAGTATTAATGATTTGTAACTGGCTCGAGTTTCCTCTGAACCCTACAGCAGACTTGAGACATATTTGATGTAGCCAGAGAAAATATGTGCCAGGGGGACACGCGTACATTGCAAAAAGAAAAATATGAAACGGGCAAAAGCCTTAAACAATACACGTTTTGTGCCACAGTGCTCGAGTTTTTAACTTGTTTCAGTGTATCGCGACAGCATGCAGATTCCGCAGGACAATTTTTAAAGTTTTTACCAAACGGACGGTACCATAAAAGGTATGGTGTTCGGCTTAAATAAAACCAAGGCAGATGCTTGCCAGATAACCCAACAAAAGTGTTCTGTGTGATACGATATAATCTCAATGGTCACTTCCCCGTGTCTAGGGACGGAGACGTACTTGCCCTAAAGGAAACACCTGTAGGACAGTTATATATATGTTAACTGTTACGTATTTTATACAAACAACACCTGTGGACATATGTATAGATAAGTATGTTAATTGATATATGGTGTAATCACATTTCAGATAAATTTTTATCTCCTTGCGCCATCATTCAATGGAGGTCAAACTTTTGTCAATGTGGTCGGAATCACAGGGGTTTAACACACGTTCCAGCGGTCAGTAAATGTGTATACAAAATATACATTAATGTCAAGGCCCTGTGATTAGAAACACAGCTCCTACTTTCAAAGTATCCTCGCCCAGCGCTCAAACCTAGTTTTAGCGTACAAAATGAAAAACATAATGATATGGAAAGTTCTGCTTAAAATTGATTCTGAATATTGTTTTGCGGGGAATGAAGTTTTTGAAATTAATTGTCATTGAAAAATAAACATCCTTATGTTCTTTGAAAAATCGAAAGATTCTGAACATGTCTGAAACTACAGCACATGTCCAGACAGTGGCATCAATGAGCCAAGTTTTCAAGCAAAGAGAACAAGCTGTTAGATTTGTTTTGTGGATTAAATCCCACATTCGCAGCTTGAAGTCGAAAATGAAAACAACACAGAAGTCAGCGTTTCATGTTCCTGGTGTTAAATTTCACACTTCAAGATTTACATAAGTATGTTATTGTGTCTGTAGATAAGGCGTCCAATAACTTGATCCTGGTCTGTTGTCATTATTACATTTCCTGTATACAAAAATAACAAGGCTTGCCTGATATTATAGGAAACCCCCATCTGTCCATTATGTAATCTTTCCACAGAAGAATTAGTGGCTGATATGCTTCAGGGTAACAATTATTTAGATTGCCTATTGATAAGGATGCGGAACCCCTCCCTCGTTTATATTGGATTAACAGCGTCTAGTTGTTCAACCAAATCTTTCTCAGAACTACTTACTACCATTCTAGGTACCATGAAATCTGGGCTACTGTCCTATTGTGATACTGTTTACCAAAGAAGTGAAATTAATGAATGGTATGTGGATTTAAGAATTTATAGAACATTTTATTTGTTTTGTTTTGTTTGTTTGTTTGTTTGTTTGTTTGTTTTTTTTTTTTTTGGTAAGATATGGACACTAACTGCGCCCCTCTGTTGGCTGACTTGTTTTTGTTTTCTTGCGAGGCAGAACTTGTCAAAACAGGACACAAGAACATTGCAAAGTCGTTTTCACTTTCAGATGTTGATATTGATGACACCTTGACTTTGAATAACACGAGTTTTCGTGTATTACCTCGTCCATCGTCTCCCACCAGAACTTGAAATCAAAGACACAATATATTCTTCCTTATCAGCTGTTTATCTCATTGTTTTCTTGTAACGGAACTTACATGGACAGCTTTTCACCTAGCTGTGTGACAGGCGCAATGGTTTTAGTTTCCCCTAATGTGAATTTTCCATTTCTGGATAGCAGTATCTTTGCATCCCAAACCAATTGTATTTTCATGTTGCAATTAATTCCATATTAAGGGCCGGTTCCTAGGATCACGATTTTTATGTAGATAGCGGCCTCATTGAGAAATAATCTATTTCTGAGTGCGATATGAATCTGGACATGTTTGATGTTCGTTAGTTTGTCTGTTGGTTCCGTTGTGTGATATGAAGCTGGACGTGTTTGATGTTCGTTAGTTTGTCTGTTGGTTCCGTTGTGTGATATGAAGCTGGACGTGTTTGATGCTCGTTAGTTTGTCTGTTGGTTCCGTTGTGTGATATGAAGCTGGACGTGTTTGATGCTCGTTAGTTTGTCTGTTGGTTCCGTTGTGTGATATGAAGCTGGACGTGTTTGATGTTCGTTAGTTTGTCTGTTGGTTCCGTTGTGTGATATGAATCTGGACGTGTTTGATGCTCATTAGTTTGTTTGTTGGTTCCGTTGTGTGATATGAAGCTGGACGTGTTTGATGCTCGTTAGTTTGTCTCTTGGTTCCGTTGTGTGATATGAAGCTGTTTTTTTATGCTCGTTAGTTTGTCTGTTGGTTCCGTTGTGTGATATGAAGCTGGACGTGTTTGATGTTCGTTAGTTTGTCTGTTGGTTCCGTTGTGCGATATGAATCTGGACGTGTTTGATGTTCGTTAGTTTGTCTGTTGGTTCCGTTTTGCGATATGAATCTGGACGTGTTTACAATGTGGATGTCGTCGATGAAGCAGAAGACACTTACTCTTCCGCTAGCTTTTCGCTACACCATCTGATAGTGTAAAAGGAAGGGAAGTAACTCTAGGGATCTGAATCTACACCTGTGATGTCTAGTATGGAGTCGGGTATATATTATAAGGGTCTTTTGATTTACTTTGATAAGGATCACTCATCGGTGGCGTGCTAACGTTAGGCATCACGGTAATATTAATGGATGTCTGTTGAGAGATATTATACGATAATTAGATGGTTATAGATGTAGTAGTTATGACAGGTAGTTGGCCTGTATATATGTCAGTTATAGACGAGCATCTGTACAGACTACCTTAGCAACACCACGCACGTGAATTTAACATGTATAGCTAAATAATAACTGCCCCCCACATCCTCTGTATCCTGAGTTATCAGCATGACATGTTCATTCAGTCAACTAAAAACCGTATTTTACAGGGGAAAAACAATAATAAATGTCCGTCAAAAGTTTCCATATGCGCAATGATCCTCCGCCTCTCCTCCGCCATTGAAAAACGGGGCGTGGGACATAGGTGATGATACTAATGATAAAAAAATTACCCTGAATTTAATAACTTATTTACGTAAGATCTATTTTTTCTTTTATGCAGTTTGTCATAAAAAATGAAGAATTGCGCGGACGGAATTCCTGAATAGTTTATTGCTTACTAGTAAATTGTTTTTAGTTTTGTTTATCCCGAAACTTCCTTGACAAAGAGTCACAATACAAACTACATGAGGAACACGTGACATGTTGGACAACACAGTGCATATCGTCCGACGTAATAGTCATGTGTATTTACATGTGCGTGCAAAATGTAACTGTCATGATTGTGAAGATCAGATATTCATATATACCGGTTGCTTCTGTGTTAAGATCAGCGTCCCTACTTAAATACGTTGTTACTTATGAGAAATCGATCAAGCTTGATAACGTCTTCTGTAAAGGCTGAAATTAATTAACAATGAATCCTTTGACAACAAATAAAATGAATAAATTAATTATAATTACATTGTACAAATGGTCATCTAACGTTACGTACAAGCCCTGGCATTTTGGTATAAATTGAAATATTTAGAAAGGAACAGTACGTGTGTTGGACATTAGAATCATTCCTGAATAAATCATTTGACATATAACGAATGAAAACAAAACATATTGGGGAAAAAACCAAACAACAACAACAACAGCAGCAGCAGCAGCAGCAGCAGCAGCAGCAACAACAACAACAACAACAACAACATTAAAAACACAACAACACAACAACAACAATAACGACAACATCATCAACAACATAAAACCGGCGTTGAACATTCCTCCTTTTAGTTTTACACATTCGTCAAATATTATCTATTTTCTATGTCCTCCATATTTTACAGTTGGTTGATCATCCACACAATGCCCATCAGTTTTCTATCTACAATACGTAACATCCTGCTGCTGTTTTACGGTAAGTATTCCCACAATAAAGGCAAATGTGCAAGGTTAGACCGAACATTCCAATTTTTAAATCAATAAGAAATACCAATGTTTAATTTTCCTTATCTTCGACGCTGATTTTAATATTTTAACAGTTTTATTCTTTGTATAAAATAGCAAATACTGAAAATATGAAAAAATCTAAATCAGCTCATTAAACTGAAAATTAGCTCATATAATTTTATCTTAAAGAAATTTGTCTTCAAAGAATATCAGCTCGGTTCCTTACTGATATAGAATGTTATCTATATTACCTTACGTTTTGAAACATCTGATTATACACTGTAATATTCATGAGCGTTCTATATTTAAATTGTTATCACTTTGGTTCAGTTAAAAAAATAAGAAATGTCTTTATTTAACAAAAAACTTAAACTAACATGAATTATCATTAACTTGATTTTATCGTAGTTTCGTACGATTTTTCCATTCAAAGTGATACATATTACGTCAGCCGAAAAGACATGGACAGAATGGACTGAGTGGTCCACTTGCTCCACCACGTGCGAGTTCGGACTACATGAGCGAGTGTCTCGCCTGAAGAACGAGGACGGAAGTTTCAGTGACATTACAAGAACAGATCACAAGAGTTGTTTACACGATACCCTGTGTCCAGGTAAATCCTCAGATCACAAGAGTTGTTTACACGAGCCCCTGTGTCCAGGTAAATTCTCGATGATATCACAAGAGTTGTTTACACGAGACCCTGTGTCCAGGTAAATCCTCAGATCACAAGAGTTGTTTACACGAGCCCCTGTGTCCAGGTAAATCCTCGATGATATCACAAGAGTTGTTTACACGAGCCCCTGTGTCCAGGTAAATCCTCGATGATATCAGAAGAGTTGTTAACGCGAGATCCTGTGTCCAGGTTAATCCTAAGATCGCAAGAGTTATGTACACGAGACCCTGTGTCCAGGTAAATCCTCAGATCAGAAGAGTTGTTTACACGAGACTCTGTGTCCAGTTAAATCCTAAGATCGCAAGAGTTGTTTACACGATACCCTGTGTCCAGTTAAGATCACAAGAGTTGTTATGTACACGAGACCCTGTGTCCATATCCTCAGATCAAAAGAGTTGTTTACACGATCCCCTGTGTCCAGATAAATCCTCGATGATATCAAAAGAGTTTTTTTACACGATCCCCTGTGTCCAGGTAAATCCTCGATGATATTAAAAGAGTTGATTACACGATCCCCTGTGTCCAGGTAAATCCTCAGATCACAAGAGTTGTTTACACGAGACAATGTGTCCAGGTAAATCCTCAGATCACAAGAGTTGTTTACACGAGACCCTGTGTCCAGGTAAATCCTCAGATCACAAAAGTTGATTACACGAGACCCTGTGTCCAGGTAAATCCTCAGATCACAAGAGTTGTTATGTACACGAGACCCTGTGTCCAGGTAAATCCTCGATGAAATTACAAGAGTTGGTTTACACGAGACCCTGTGTCCAGGTAAATCCTCAGATCACAACAGTTGTTATGTACACGAGACCCTGTGTCCAGGTAAATCCTCGATGAAATTACAAGAGTTGGTTTACACGAGACCCTTTGTCCAGGTAAATCCTCAGATCACAACAGTTGTTATGTACACGAGACCCTGTGTCCAGGTAAATCCAGAGATCGCAAGAGTTGATAACACGAGACCCTGTGTCCAGGTAAATCTACAGATCACAAGAGTTATTTACACGAGACCCTGTGTCCAGGTAAATCCTCGATGATATCACAAGAGTTGTTTACATGAGACCCTGTGTCCACGTAAATCCTAAGATCACAAGAGTTGTTTACACGAGACCCTGTGTCCAGGTAAATCCTCGATGAAATTACAAGAATTGGTTTACACGAGACCCTGTGTCCAGGTAAATACTAGGATCACAAGAGTTGTTTACACGAGACCCTGTGTCCAGGTAAATCCTCAGATCACAAAAGTTGATTACACGAGACCCTGTGTCCAGGTAAATCCTCAGATCACAAGAGTTGTTTACACGAGCTCCTGTGTCCAGATAAATCCTCGATGACATCACAAGAGATGTCTACACGAGCCCCTGTGTCCAGGTAAATCCTCGATGATATCAGAAGAGTTGTTAACGCGAGCCCCTGTGTCCAGGCAAATCCTAAGGTCACTAGAGTTGTTGTGTACACGAGACCCTGTGTCCAATTAAATCCTCATATCACAAGAGTTGTTTACACGATCCCCTGTGTCCAGATAAATCCTCGATGATATCACAAGAGTTTTTTTACACGATCCCCTGTGTCCAGGTAAATCCTCGATGATATTAAAAGAGTTGTTAACACGAGATCCTGTGTCCAGGTTAATCCTAAGATCGCAAGAGTTATGTACACGAGACCCTGTGTCCAGGTAAATCTTCAGATCAGAAGAGTTGTTTACACGAGACCCTGTGTCCAGGTAAATCCTCAGATCACAAGAGTTATGTACACGAGACCCTGTGTACAGGTAAATCTACAGATCAGAAGAGTTGTTTACACGAGACTCTGTGTCCAGTTAAATCCTAAGATCGCAAGAGTTGTTTACACGATACCCTGTGTCCAGTTAAATCCTCAGATCAAAAGAGTTGTTTACACGATCCCCTGTGTCCAGATAAATCCTCGATGATATCAAAAGAGTTTTTTTACACGATCCCCTGTGTCCAGGTAAATCCTCGATGATATTAAAAGAGTTGATTACACGATCCCCTGTGTCCAGGTAAATCCTCAGATCACAAGATGTGTTTACACGAGACAATGTGTCCAGGTAAATCTTCAGATCACAAGAGTTGTTTACACGAGACCCTGTGTCCAGGTAAATCCTCGATGAAATTACAAGAGTTGGTTTACACGAGACCCTTTGTCCAGGTAAATCCTCAGATCACAACAGTTGTTATGTACACGAGACCCTGTGTCCAGGTAAATGCAGAGATCGCAAGAGTTGATTACACGAGACCCTGTGTCCAGGTAAATCTACAGATCACAAGAGTTATTTACACGAGACCATGTGTCCAGGTAAATCTACAGATTACAAGAGTTATCTACACGAGCCCCTGTGTCCAGGTAAATCCTCGATGATATCACAAGAGTTGTTTACACGAGACCCTGTGTCCAGGTAAATCCTCAGATCACAAGAGTTGTTTACACGAAACAATGTGTCCAGGTAAATCTTCAGATCACAAGAGTTGTTTACACGAGACCCTGTGTCCAGGTAAATCCTCGATGAAATTACAAGAATTGATTTACACGAGACCCTGTGTCCAGGTAAATCCTAAGATCACAAGAGTTGATTACACGAGACCCTGTGTCCAGGTAAATCCTCAGATCACAAGAGTTGTTTACACGATCCCCTGTGTCCAGGTAAATCCTAAGATCACAAGAATTGATTACACGAGACCCTGTGTCCAGGTAAATCCTCGATGATATCACAAGAGTTGTTTACACGAGACCCTGTGTCCAGGTAAATCCTAAGATCACAAGAGTTGTTTATACGAGACCCTGTGTCCAGGTAAATCCTCAGATCACAAGAGTTGTTTACACGAGACTATGTGTCCAGGTAAATCTACAGATCACAAGAGTTATTTACACGAGACCTTGTGTCCAGGTAAATCCTAGGATCACAAGAGTTGTTTACACGAGACCTTGTGTCCAGGTAAATCCTAGCATCACAAGAGTTGATTACACCAGACCCTGTGTCCAGGTAAATCCTAGGATCACAAGAGTTGTTTACACGAGACCCTGTGTCCAGGTAAATCCTAAGATCACAAGAGTTGTTTACACGACACCCTGTGTCCAGGTAAATCCTCGATGATATCACTTGTTGTGGTTTAAATTGATGAGATTAATATATTATTAAATTATTTAAACAGAAAACTTTTCTGGTTCTTATTTCTGTGGTGTTTTTCATGCGTTCTGGTTGCTTTATTTTCTATTTTTCAAGGTTGGAATATAATTGGGAAAACTGGACACATTGAAAGTAATATATCCTTTCCTGACAGCTCGGTGAAAACGTTGCTCTTCCTTCCTTTTTAAAGGGCGCGACAACTAATTCGGTTAGAACGTTTGCCTTGGTAACGTCAGGTGAAGATTGGAGATACGTCTTTCAACACTCCCTACTCGTGGCGGGTAGAATGTGTCCCTTGGCAAGACATTTACACCAGCTGCTCTGAATGGCATGTTTGAACCTTTTCAAAATTTGTTGCTAACACGTCCGGTTTTGCCACTCTGGAATAGCAGGCACGGACAAATGTCATTAGTTTGTATTTCCAATGTTTCGCAGTGTGGACTTGAATGGATTTAATTTCTCAGATGAGATGGCACTTTTATCGTTTTATCACTGAAAATTGTTCCCACGAATGATCAATCTAGAATGATTTTTTATCGTCTAGTTTGCATTTCATATTATGTGAACACTGTTTTTATCACACATATCAATGCCGTTCATAATTTTGTAAATCGTCAACATATCGCTTCTCAGTCTTGTGTATTTCCTACCTCTATCAATCACTGAATAGCATTAGATACGGATAGTTTCTATAACAATGGTTGCGCGTCTTCTCGATGGAAACTATGGCCTTGATGGTATTTATCGACCATTGCTGTCCAGGCATATTTAAGACGAGATCTCTCTTATGATTTGTAGACGTTAAAGAATGCTTTGAAAATTTCTAGTGCTCTGTCGAGTTTTTTTTATCTTTGAATAGGACTTTGGCTTTTGCCTGAGGTTACACCCTTCTCTTATGTAACTTTTTGTTTTATGACATTGTTCATTTTGTACATTTTCTCTGACGTATCTGCTCCTAGACGTAGATATTAATTTTTTGTGCGTTGTACTTTAATTGTTGATTTTTGGACCATTTCATTAGTTTTTCAGTATTAGACTGCATACATTGATGATCAATACAGATAACAGTTTTGTGTCATCTGCAAATAATCTGACATCATTTGTATAGTATTGATCCACCATCCAAGGGGATTCGACTGATCACATAATCCACTCTGATATATCGGTCAAACAATTCCTGATCCATTTGAGTACATTTCCAGTTATTCAATACTGGTTTTGGATGTTATCAAAAGGCTTCTAAAATAAGTACGTGAATGAAACGTCTACATTGTTTCTATCGTCTAATGATATCGTCCATTTGTCCTTAACATCTTGTAGAGAAGTGGCACACTGGTGAACTTTCCGAAACTTGTGTTGGTATTTGTTGTAAAAAATATTTATTTCTATACAAGTTATTGATAGTCTGATCGAGCGGTAGTTTTCAGCGTTATTTTTTAGACATTGTTTCGCTGTTACATTAACCTCATTCCTTGCTGCTCTAGGTACTTAAGATTCGTTGCTGGTTTAACATTCTACAGATACTCTTTGACTAGGTGTTCTCTAATATTTTTGTGACTAGCTCTTCCCACACTTCCCTTCTGTGAATTCTGGAAAGCTTCTGAAATTTTCTTCAGTGCCTCTCCTTTTCCTAATTCCTGATTATAACCTCCCGGGTTTGGATGATTACGTTGCTAAGTTTTACCTTTAGATTAGGTTAAGCTTGAACATAGCTCCAAACTGGTTTTGAATCCGGCTTGATTTAGTCTGCTACTTCCACAAGTTTTACTCACTTTCTGTCTTCAGTTTTCCTTCTCATTGATGCCGAAAGAATCTGTTGTTTATTGATGAGGTCTCCTTCAATACTAAGTACTAGATCTAATGTTGACGGCCTTTCGTTGTAACGTGTTCTTGTAAATTCCCTCCAATGCTGAAATTGATATAACGAGAACAACAAGGAAATACCAACGTGTCAACATAATCATAATCCAAGCTTAAATAAAACAAATAAAACTAAGTCAAATATGAACAAAACAACAATTTACACGACGATCAGGTGTTTCGGAAGTGTAAGCGTCTTCAGCTTCATCGTCGACATCCGCCACGTATATTTTACTCATTAATCACGAACTGGTAAAAAGAAAACACACACACACTAATGAATGTCTGTTTAATTACTTTTGTAAACAATACATCCTTTTTACTTGAAGCTGTAGGCAAAGCTAAAAATTTGAACTACTTGAAAAACGACTTACATGGTATTTCGTCTCTATTACAATTCAGTTTTCATGACGTGGCTTTATTTTTTAGAATGTTTTATCTATTGCCACAACAGTATATAAGTGTAATTGTCTACAGTGGCCGGTAACTGGACGAGTTGGAGTCCCTGGAGTCATTGTTCCATGCCATGCGGGATGGGCCACCAAAAGCGGGTCCGCCACTGCGCAAATCCGCGCCCCGCTAACGGTGGAGCGGATTGTTTAGGACCTAGTGAACAAACCCAAGAGTGCAAGAAGCAGCGATGTCCATGTACGTAACAGACTTCACCTTGGCCACTGATAAATGTAGCCAAGGTTATATAAAACACGCTGAAAAGAACGTTTTAATACAAAGTTAGAGAAATTTAGAGTAAAGCCAAACAATGTATTACACTGCATCATGCAAGTACTGGTGATGCTGTGCTAATAAGTTTTAAGCCTGTGAGATGCCCGAGAAAATACTAAGTGATGGGAAAGAAATGTCAAAATCTGGTCGGGGAGGTGCACTTGTTCTATAATTGAAAAACAAAATCTAGGAGAACGCCAGGGACATGTGAACCATGTCACTATTCGAATGAATTAAAACGTGGCATGCAAGTTATGGCAAGCTTCGGGGATTAAAAGTCTACCAGCAGTGTCTACCGCCCGCAATGTAGATTAAATTTGATGTTTAGTCGGATAAAATTACTTTTCTGATGTATTTCCTAGAAATAAAAATTTAAAATAAATTGTTTCATCTTAAAACAGTAAATAATATTTACCGCGACAGTTTTTCATTTTTAAATAAATCTAAACGGTTCAATAGTCATGCCGCAGTCGTGACTTACGCGTGCAGTAATCAATCAAAGGAAAGTGTAAGTCATTCTCACACACTCTCATACTAGGTAACTGAACCGCTAATCACAGGAATGAATAATGAAATCTTTCATCCCCTTGCAGGTGAGATAGAGGGAAATCATTGCTACTATAAAAGAGTGATAGAGGCGGTTGTCTTGGTATCATTTCCTAGGAAACCATGCAGGGTTTTGTGGGTAAATTTGAAGATTAAAATAGATTTTTAACTTATAAAAAATTCGATCACTTTGGGTTTTAATTAATTGATTTATTTTTATTTCCGTACAGCTATTCCACCGGATTTTTCCATGGACATGTGCAGAGATGAAAAACGGATTTTCCTGTGTCGTAGCGCCATCCACTGTGTAAACAAAACATCCGTGTGTGACCGGGTTGTTAATTGTCATGACGGAAGTGACGAAATGGGTTGTTACAGATACGGGCCAAATACTTCCGGTGAGTGAACATCAATATTGAGTGTAGAGGAATCAGTCTCGGTTGAGCGATTGGTATTTGAAAAATTAATGGAGCTTGGCTACTATTTACTACAAAACGTTATCCGTGACAATGATTTACGGTTGAAAAATAGACATATGCTATATTATACGTCCATAATTTAAGGATAATAAACCATGAACATCTCGAATAAAATAATCTTAAACTCTAAACATGTAACGTTTTCATGTAATCTTCAAAGTTGCCATCTATTTATTTCTCTTTTGTTTCCTTTGTTCACTGCACTTTAATCAAAAGGGTTCTATGACACTTTTATTCCTGAACTCTAGGATTTAGAATTTAGATATTTATATATATTAAGGAGATAGGTTTGTGTGTTACACTAGTACCTTTGGAGAGTGTTATTTATCTATCCATTCTCTTGCCTGTGTATTACATTAAGTTCCATTTGAAGGAAAGTATGTACGATTTTGACAGTACTTGATTGGACACATCGATGTGTAGCGTGTTGACAAGTCTGATTTGAAAAAGGAAACAGTTGTTTTCTAGTGTTATTATGTAATGTTTTGTTTCAAAAACTGGTACGTACGACAAAAGAAGATATCCATATGATGCCAGATTTTGTAGAATATCAAAAGGACTATAAATGCTGTGTTTGAAATGAAATAACCTTAGGTACTATATACTATACATAAAACAAGGTCTTGGTTCCCAACCCGACGGTCCAGTTATATTTATTATATTTAAGTATAAGTAGCTTACTTACAATGCATAATGGTATACGAGTCATTGACTAGGGAAATCGTACCAAATCCCAGTAATGAATTATAAAAAATAACTGATACATTTATTTTTTCCAGTCTCCATTCAAGACATGGTATCTACGGCAATACTCACAGTCTCATGTCTGCTGTTTACCGTCCTGGCTGCATGACATCTCCACCTTGTAAACTATTTAGTGGACACCGTTTCATACATTGGTTATTTTTATATTGTTTAGAATACTTTTGAGACGTGGTGCTGAATATGTTTTTTTTTAATCAATAACATGGTATTCCAGTGTGTTTTTAGTCCACAAGAGTTACTTCCCTGTCTGTAACATTTGTCCGGTATTGGACAGTAACCCATCTGACGAATGTATATATATACGTATAGAAGAGTTAGTGATTTAATGTTTGAAACAAATTGTAGGTAGTCCCTAATTGTGTTTAAAACGTTTTCATGTTAGATTTAGATTTTTTTGTTATTATGTTTATTATTTTATGAAAATGTGACTGTCTTGTAGTAATGTCTGTTTTAATCTTGAAATTTTGAAATGTCTATGTTCTTAATGGGAAAAGAAATGCATTTATCGATATTTATATTTTTAACACAAACATTTTTTTTATATTTACATTATTTTCTTATGCGCTGAAATGATATACTGCAAACGTGCTTATTATGCTGGAATGAAGTTAAGCGCATTATCATTTTTTTTTTTGCAAATTAGCTGAGTAATGAATTGGCTCATGGACAATAGAAATATTTACCTTTACAGTTGGTATATGCCACTTGATATGCATTTTGTATATTTGTTTAAGATATTTTAAAAGTTTTCTTGCCTAAAATATGTTTATCTATATTGAGGATAGAATGTTTGGTGCTCTAATGAAACTTGTCCTGGTATTTGTACCGCCGACATAAGGTTGCATAGAAATATATAGTCGGTGCTATATTAAAAACATACCCTAAAATTTCTGAATCACCAACCGTCTAGTTTACAAACAATATGCAGTCAACATTGTTAAAAAATACCCCGGCATTCTGAACCGCCCACTTTCTTGTTTACGTAACATAAATATAAACGGTTCTTTAACAAAAACCTACCCTGTATTTATTGACCGGTTAGTGTACAGGTAAATTATAAAATATTTAGTGAAATGATTAAAACATATCCCGATATTTCTGTACCGCATACGATATGATTATTTCACTAAAATTTGACAAGATATTATTCCAATGAACGAGTTCTGTTTAAACATTTCATTTTTTTTACAGTGAATGTGTCGATATAAACATGATATTTGGATGTACGAGTGATAAAATGTACTGATGAATAGTTTATTTTTAAATGAATTGTTGTAGAATTGTGACAATACAAATAACTCAATACAAATAACTGGGGGGGGGGGGGGGGGGGGGGGGGGGGGGGGGGGGGGGGGGGGAATGAGAGACAGAGGGAGAGAGAGATTTGAATAAGCCGATATTTGTATTTTGTACAATGTTTTCCCTTTGAATAAATTATGTCCTATATTTTATGAAATGCCATATTTTACTGGGAATGTATTGTTATGATCAAGGATATACACCTCGACAATTTGTTCTAAAATTCCATTTTTACGAGAATATGTTTTGCCTTCTTGCGATATTACCAGGCATATTCTAAACATTAAAGCTTTGTTGTGAAAATGACGAAATTTATTTAATTATGACGTTTGTGTACCTCCAATCTAGATTTTGACTTTTCTTTCGATCACTATGGATTTCCCTCAGTCGCTTCCTTGGCCTTAAAATTAAAGGCCCTTAGCATCACCGACGAGGACTAGAAAGGCGAAACTGCAGAAAGATGTAGTTGTTTTTCTCATATAACTCTAAATTTTGTTTCCTATATATCTTTTACATTTTTTTAGGAATCTTAATTATTTCACTCAGCGCCTTGAATTTTGTCATGTTCAGCAAACAACAATTTGCTATTATCAAGAGAGTCCACCATGAACGGATTGAAAACTCCATTGAAGCAGAATACGAAAAAACGATTCCTAGAAGGTTGTATTTGTTGATATGTCTTGTGGAGTATGACATAGATTTGTTGTGATGATATGTCTTGTGGAGTATGACATAGATTTGTTGTGATGATATGTCTTGTGGAGTATGACATTGATTTGTTGTGATGATATGTCTTGTGGAGTATGACATAGATTTGTTGTGATGATATGTCTTGTGGAGTATGACATAGATTTGTTGTGATGATATGTCTTGTGGAGTATGACATTGATTTGTTATGATGATATGTCTTGTGGAGTATGACATTGATTTGTTATGACGACATGCCTGTGCTACTATAAGTAAAAACAACAACTAGACATAATCATAACCAAAGTTCAGATTCAATCAAATTAAGGCAAGATATGAACTAAAGAAAGATTTTTACATGGAGGTTCCTACAATGTATAAGGAGAAAATGTAATATTATTATTATCAGGAAGGTTGTGGTGCGTTTAGTGTATTTTCCGTTTTACATGACAACCACTGATAATGTTACATCTGATGTTTCTGGTTATACACTAAATTAATCGGATATGGTTTGCATGTTTTATATGAATGATATCGGTATTACATCGTTTTGTTAGTCACTGAAATCAACAGAAACAGTTTTTATTTAATTAATTATTTCAAAAGACAATCATATAATAGATAATTATGATTAATAAAAAGAAAAAAACCATCCCCATGTATATGTATATTGTATCGTTACCCTATAGTACTCTTGAGATGTTCGAGGTCAATTTAGGTATAAAACAACGTTTATATGTAAGTTATTTGCAGTGTACAGTGGATCACATATATGAATTCCCCGGAGACCTACCCAGAAATACAAAAACAAACATTAAGTGAAGTAGGATTAAAACTATAATCCCTTACTTCGATGACCAAGTCTTTGATGTAAATATTTACAATCAAAGTAGTTTCCCATGATGTTAAATTATAATTGTAATTAAGCAAACAAATTACATGATTTAACCTTAGTACATGATTTTGGACCTAAATCAAGTAGAATCCATTCCACCATAAATGTATTGGCTTAAGTCTACTTGACAGCTTTGGTATTTATAGTTGATTCAAAGGTAGTTGTCAGTCGTTCGACTGATACTGACAATAAGATACAAATCACCTGCTGGTTTTCACTTGCCATTTTTATAAATGACCACATAACAAAATGATTACCAATACAGATATTCCATTTAATTTCAAACAAGATGGTGAAGAAAACCAGGCATTTGCAAAATTAACACAATTGCCCTGGAAAACCTATCGTGTATTTTGTTGATGATGGTGTCAATTTGATTTTTACATGCTCTATAATTTTCCATTAGAGTCATTTTCATGAAAGACAAAAGGATCGGACAACAGACATTATATAAATATGACGAAAACATCAGGTAGGTTCATTCCTAGAAAACAACAAAATATATATGTACATACGGGCATTACGGCTTACAGAGTCACGTGGTATCATGCAGATGATAGACATGATAACGTTATTGATAAATGAAACTGAGACAGGCTTACATATGTTGATCTAAGAAAAGAAATCCCATACCGAGGATACAGGCCAGAAGGAAGTCCATTACATTTACATACCATACCGAGGATACAGGCTAAAAGGAAGTCCATTTCCATTACGTTTACATATCATACCAAGGATACAGGCCAGAAGGAAGTCCATTACATTTACATACCATACCGAGGATACAGGCCAGAAGGAAATCTATTACATCTACATATCATACCGAGGATACAGGCCAGAAGGAAGTCCATTACATTTACATACCATACCGAGGATACAGGCCAGAAGGAAGTCCATTACATTTACATATCATACCGAGGATACAGGCCCGAAGGAAGTCCATTTCCATTACATTTACATATCATACCGAGGATCCAGGCCACAAGGCTGTCCATTACATTTACATATCATACCGAGGATACAGGCCAGAAGGAAGTCCATTACATTTACATATCATACCGAGGATACAGGCCAGAAGGAAGTCCATTACATTTACATATCATACCGAGGATACAGGCCAGAAGGAAATCTATTACATTTACATATCATACCGAGGATACAGGCCAGAAGGAAGTCCATTACATTTACATATCATACCGAGGATACAGGCCAGAAGGAAGTCCATTACATTTACATATCATACCGAGGATACAGGCCAGAAGGATGTCCATTACATTTACATACCATACCGAGGATACAGACCAGAAGGATGTCCATTACATTTACATATCATACCGAGGATACAGGCTAGAAGGAAATCTATTACATTTACATATCATACCGAGGATACAGGCCAGAAGGAAATCTATTACATTTACATATCATACCGAGGATACAGGCCAGAAGGAAGTCCATTACATTTACATATCATACCGAGGATACAGGCCAGAAGGAAATCTATTACATTTACATACCATACCGAGGATACAGGCCAGAAGGAAATCTATTACATTTACATATCATACCGAGGATACAGGCCAGAAGGAAGTTCATTACATTTACATATCATACCATGGATACAGGTCAGAAGGAAATCTATTACATATACATATCATACCGAGGATACAGGCCAGAAGGAAGTCCATTACATTTACATATCATACCGAGGATACAGGCCAGAAGGATGTCCATTACATTTACATATCATACCGAGGATACAGGCCAGAAGGAAATCCATTACATTTACATATCATACCGAGGATACAGGCCAGAAGGAAGTCCATTACATTTACATATCATACCGAGGATACAGGCCAGAAGGAAGTTCATTACATTTACATATCATACCGAGGATACAGGCCAGAAGGAAGTCCATTACATTTACATATCATACCGAGGATACCGAGAAGATACATTTACATATCATACCGAGGATACAGGCCAGAAGGAAGTCCATTACATTTACATATCATACCGAGGATACAGGCCAGAAGGAAGTCCATTACATTTACATATCATACCGAGGATACAGGCGAGAAGGAAGTCCATTACATTTACATATCATACCGAGGATACAGGCCAGAAGGAAGTCCATTACATTTACATATCATACCGAGGATACAGGCCAGAAGGAAGTCCATTACATTTACATATCATACCGAGGATACAGGCCAGAAGGAAGTCCATTACATTTACATATCATACCGAGGATACAGGCCAGAAGGAAGTCCATTACATTTACATATCATACCGAGGATACAGGCCAGAAGGAAATCCATTACATTTACATATCATACCGAGGATACAGGCCAGAAGGAAATCTATTACATTTACATATCATACCGAGGATACAGGCCAGAAGGAATTCCATTTCCATTACATATACATATCATACCGAGGATACAGGCCAGACAGAAGACCATTACATTTACATATCATACCGAGGATACAGGCCAGAAGGAATTCCATTACATTTACATACCATACCGAGGATACAGGCCAGAAGGAAGTCCATTACATTTACATATCATACCGAGGATACAGGCCAGAAGGAAGTCCATTACATTTACATATCATACCGAGGATACAGGCCAGAAGGAAGTCCATTACATATACATATCATACCGAGGATACAGGCCAGAAGGAAATCTATTACATTTACATATCATACCGAGGATACAGGCCAGAAGGAAGTCCATTACATTTACATATCATACCGAGGATACAGGCCAGAAGGAAATCCATTACATATACATATCATACCGAGGATACAGGCCAGAAGGAAGTCCATTACATTTACATATCATACCGAGGATACAGGCCAGAAGGAAGTCCATTACATTTACATATCATACCGAGGATACAGGCCAGAAGGATGTCCATTACATTTACATATCATACCGAGGATACAGGCCAGAAGGAAATCTATTACAGATACATATCATAAAGAGGATACAGGACAGAAGGAAGTCCATTACATTTGCATATCATACCGAGGATACAGGCCAGAAGGAATTCCATTACATTTAGATATCATACCGAGGATACAGGCCAGAAGGATGTCCATTACATTTACATGCCATACCGAGGATACAGGCCAGAAGGAATTCCATTACATTTACATATCATACCGAGGATACAGGCCAGAAGGAAATCTATTACATTTACATATCATACCGAGGATACAGGCCAGAAGGAAGTCCATTACATTTACATATCATACCGAGGATACAGGCCAGAAGGAAGTCCATTACATTTACATAACATACCGAGGATACAGGCCAGAAGGAAGTCCATTACATTTACATATCATACCGAGGATACAGGAGAGAAGGAAGTCCATTACATTTACATACCATACCGAGGATACAGGCCAGAAGGAAGTCCATTACA